GCTTCCAACCAGAGCCATCACACCTCCGAGTCTGGGGGCTGCTGCAAACAGCAGCCAGGAGAGCAAAGCAAAGTAACTGCACTGCAACATGAAGCCTGTAGGTTATTCCTGCTGCTCCCTGCCAGCCCAGCTGCAGAAGAGTGGGAGAGCCCCAGCACCTTCTCCCTCGCCGGAAAATCATCCTTAACGATGAGTTTTTCCAATTAAGCAGGTTTACAGCAGTGACACAGTGCAAGGAAGCCCTGCAGCATCAAGGAGTCTGGCCCACCACATTTGTTTTAATGCTTTAAACAAATAAATTAAAGTGAAACGTGTCTTTCAGTACGTCACTGAATAGGCAAGCTGAGAAATAAATTGAGCTTCACATATGCTTTTATAACACATAACAACTGTGACTGTCAGCACAAGATCCTTTTCACTGTCAATTCACCACGCATTCTGCGAGACCTTGGGGCCTGCAATTATTTCATTTCCTTTCTTGTAAATGCAATTTCCACTTAGTTTGGTGGAATAAAGGTACACAAAAGGTGATGGGAGCTGCTTGTATTTTCTGATCTGTTCAAAATTGTAGAAATCCACAAACTACAAACAGTACTTTTCAGGAACAACCTCATCTTTCTACCAGGGTAGCAGTTCAAGAAAAATGCAACGGTATTATTCATGTCAAATTAACTGCTGAACGAATCTTCATCTTTCTGATTAAATTAAAATGAAGATCATCTTTCTTCTAAGGATACTTAAATGAAATAAAAGGAGAAAATACATATGATTGGAAAAGGCATTCTGCTTTTAATACTCAGTGCAAATTAAATACAACTGTAAAGCACAAAAGGAAACTGGGCTCTTTATCCACTCAAAAATAAATGATGAAAGTACCTGCAGAAGAGTGAAGTATCAGTTCATAAAAGAGATGCAAACTGAATATCCAGCTCATTTGTCATGACTCTACCATTTGAACCAAGCAACGGAGACTTGCTAGAATTGGTCCTGGTGGTATTTGTTAACTGACAGAGCAGGAAATCAGAGGTTTAATTAGCCATGACTACAATATTCTGCTGATCTGATTTGTCTTATCTATTTCCTTCCCTTGAAGTGACAAAATGACAAACAACCTGGCAAGGGAACCAAAGCAAGTGCACAGCTCAATCCAAAAGGAGCTTGGTATTGTTGTAAAACAAACCCCTCCTCCGGGGAATCTGTATGAAATAAACGTTGCTAAAGCAGGTTTAACTCTCTGATACTGAACTGGCACCTCGGGTCTTCAATCTGCTGTAACCAAAGATTCTGCTGCCCATGTGTGCAAATGCAGCACTAGCTGCATTTTATTTTTATCTTGAGATTTCAAGGTATTTACCAGCAAACTTTTAAGAGGAATAGTCAGGACTTGTTTTTGTCCAACAGAAACCACCCTCGCACCTGCATACAGACCAGTATGACTCATGTGATTGTATTTTTTTAAATATTTGCTAGGACTACTTTTAATCAAGAGTTAACAATATAACTATCATCCCTCTTCTCTCCAAGATATGGAAAAAACCCTCGACCTTGCTATTCCTCAAAAACTCTTGAATTCTTTTTTGTGGCAGAAAAGATGAACTCTTTTTGAAGACTGTTCACAGATTTTAAAAGGAAAAGGACTTTATTACAGAGAATTTTATTTCTGCTTCCAAAAGAGACTGCAAATTATTTGACAAGTCAGTGGTAAACAGCTGCAGACTGTACATTTATCTTGTTAACCAAAATTGATATTAAATCACTTTCAAAATGCACCATCTAAACACATCTGCTACTAAAACATACCTAGAAATCCATATTCTACTTACTGCAAAGTAGGCCTGGAGCCCGTTGCAGCCTGAGGCTGGTTAGAGACAGGTCCTGAGTTGGGTACTTTGGAAGCGAATTCTGTCTCCACATCTTTCTTGTTCAACGCTGTCTGTGCAGCACTGGCTCCTGAACCTAGCACAGGCAAAGATTTTGATTCTGATGTGGCCAAGATTCCAGTGGGACCTAAAACCCAAAGAAAGTTCAATGCTTCTGTTACCCAGATTGACTGGTCTAGAAAAAACACGAGTACAGCAGAACTCAAGCAGAAATCAAAATGGAATTTTAATGAACAGTGCATGGAGAATATCTAAACATCGTGTTTGTAGCTTCTGCTCTCCCCACCAAGATTAACCCTTTCTTGTACCACAAGCAGTGTTTGCTGTATTGACACAGACATGCACTCAATCCCCTCACCCTCTGGGGTGGTAAGTCCTGCTGTCCACACAGCACTACCCAGTCACAGCTTGCCAGTGCTCTTCCAGCTGGAGCAGGAGGGAGAACCAGCCTGATAACAGAAAAGCCTGTTCTCAATACTGATGAGGAGCCAGTGAACTGTCTATAAAGTTCAAGATAAAACTATGCAGCGACATTCAAACCAGCCACATCTGCATCAGCTATGGCACGGACTTACACTTGCACACACTGTGTTTGTAACCAAGCAGAACATTAAGTTTTTTACAGATGACAGTAAAGCACAGCATAAAACTTGCTCCACAAAGCAGGGTAATTCAAATCATCAGCCCCAAACCCTCATTTCTCTGGTTACCATTACTTTCAGGAGTATTTTCACAGTAGGCCCAGACTATTAACTCCAGCAACAACGTCTGAGCTGTGGGCTGGAAAGAGAACCCGAGTGAAGGTGTCTGTGCACACAGAAAATTCCAACAGAGGCATCTCTTGGAGAAAATGGGCATGAAAAGTAACAGATGCGACAGGAAGTGAGTCACTGTGGAAGCAGGCAGAGTTCTCCATAATGGCTGAAATGGCAATGGTCTGGAAGAGAAAGTAAAGCTTCAAGAGTCACTTAATGCAGGGAGAGGAAGAGAACTGCAAAGGAGTGCAGCCACTTACTGCCACTGTCCTGGTCAGTGGTCACCTTGCGGCGGCGCAGGACTCGCTCCAGCTCCGTTTCACCGCTCTCTGTCTCAAGGGACTTCAAGCTTCGGGAACTAGTGGATTTATTCAGTGTTTCCTACAGCAAGAAATAGGCATGAGAAACTCTCTGAGGACATATAAATGTCTTACCAAGCATCTCATATGCACAACTTCAGAATCTTTTAAACTGCATCAAAGTAACTGCAGTGCTAGAGCAGCGTGCCATTAGTACAACAGTGAGCACCTGGGGGATCAGCTCACCACTCCTGCACTCCCTTGGATTTCCTGATGTAGGCATAAACCACACTTATCACACATTAGAGTTTGATATCAGGCTTAAGAAAGATACTCTGGCTCACCAATGAACAAATTCTGATGTTGCAGGGAACTGCCAACTTCCTCCATCTAAACATTTAAAGGATCTTAAAAAACTGCTGGAGCATCATCATGCCCATAATTACCCACTGACATCAAAAAGCTAAAGATCCATATTTTACTGCTCCAGTAGGTTTTATATTTTAGATTGGTCCCACATTGCTGCAGCTACAACTGCAGCATACTTTATCCTATAATCTAGCTGATCTGCTATAAACTTGACCCTATGTCTGCATACTTCGAGGTTACTCTTTTTCACAGTTAGATCACAAGTTGAAACAGTTTTTTATACATACAAACCAGAAATACACACAATTACTGCCTTATGCCAAGGTCAGCATTTAGTATCAGTGAAGTTGCAAGTCTCGGAGCACTTTTCTTAAGGTGGGAGGAAAGAGGCTTTAAGAAGCTTTGAGCAAAGCCTGAAACCTCACAAACTTGCCACAGGAATTTAAAGATGCATACAGTGCATACTGCATGCATTTCCCAAATTACAAGAGTCAGTCATTGGATCAGAACTTGATTGAAAAAAATTTCCCCCAAATGTTTATATTACGCAACTGAAAATTTGGTGCCCACATACTATTTCATTTTCCCTCTGAGTCTTGCCATCTTTAGGAATGCCCAGGAATCCTGTTTATTCAGCCTTCCAAAACCAAGACTCGTATAGTTTTTTTCCAGCACATAAATAACATACTCTTGACATCTTTTGTAGACAAGCACATAACTTCTGAGCAGAAATAGCCAAAGATGAAAGGAATTAGCATTGCAAGTTGCAGAAGTTGTGCTGCTTTTAGAAACTCTGTAAAGTAACTCTTAATTCTTCACTCCTTCCTAGAAGTTAAAATATTTTCATTCTTAACTATTTGAAATTTAACTAAGCAGGTTATTCATTAGCAGTACACTCCAGATCTGTACAAATGTACACGTATGGAAAAACAGAGTCCCTCAAACTCTGCAATTTACAAAACATAAATGTGTTTTGTTTGTAATAATTACATGGAGGTCTACACAAAATGCATTATTAGCATAGTAACAACAAATGTTTACTCCATCACATTCCACCCCCATGTTTGTTGTCTGACTGTGCATAATCACTGGTCTCAAGAATAGACTGGAGCTGGATTTTATACAGTTTGCCATACACTGGAAAGACCCTGAAAGCTCAAAAGCAACAAGCCAGATAGAGAAGTGCAGTGACTGTAGGTTTCTCTCTGCTCCTTCTGAAGTACATAATCAAGGCTCCTCTCATGTCAGTGACAAAGTGCTGAAGAAATAAAACAGCTACTAGAAAATGAAAGGATCTTTGGCAGGATCGTCCTGTCCAACCCTCACTGGTCCAAAGGGCACATTATATCCAACTACTCCTGTAAGTACAGAATTCCACTTAAAACATAGTCTCTGTGTTGCATTTTATTCCTTCCCTATTTACCTCTGCATTTAATTATGTGTCCCTCTAATCAGAGCTCAGCATTAAGGTCTGGTGGCTCTCTAGATCATTTCCTCCCTTATTCCCCTGCTTTCATGTGTCCAGAGAACAGCAAGTGTAACATGTCACTGGTGCCCCACTTGTGATTTAGATCACAGCACAGGTTGAGCCCACACTCTATGCTGTACTGTCTTGCATCACCCAACACAATATTGAGGTTGTTTTTCTAAGGGCTGTTTGGGTGCTACTATGAATAACAAGAATGATTATCCTCATCTTCTGTAGAGTGCAAGTGAAGCATTTTGCTGCAATACTGGCGGAATTTCACCTTACGTGCCAAAGCTGTACATCAACTTGAAAGTTTCAGGGTTACAGAAGTCAGGGAGCAAGAACTACAGCTCCTTCTGACTGTTTCATACAGTTTTATCACTTGTGCAAAAGATACAGCCAGTTAAAACAATTCAACATATGAGTAAAGGACACAACAGGAGCAAACTTAGTACATTGCTCTCAGCAGGACCCAACACACGCCTAATGTTTTTATTTAGTGATAAATGGGTACATGGACAGCTATTCAGAATCAAATTTTTCTAAATATAAATGCAGACAGACTAAAGCTCTTGCTTTATTTAGGCTTTGTCTACATAACAAGAAATCTGGGGCCTCTGGAGAGAGCAGCAGTTGATGAGGAGAACTCTACATCTACTATATGTGCAGTCCAGGGGCTTTACTTTGGACTAGATACAGATATTCAGCTGTCTCTCCATCCCTAAGCATCCCCACTGTGAGTACTTGGAGAGTTTCCAAAGGATCTGTGGCAGATGCAAACCATAACATCCCCTCTAGTGGCAGAAGCATACAAGCCCAGAAGAGTTCACAGGTTAGTTTCCCTACAACACATTCTGTCAGCAAAACTAACAGCAAGACCAAAATCAACCCTTAAGTCGAACCATAAGTCAAAGGTGGAATTGGGGGGATTTGCTCCAAAACTGCTCTATGCTTTCAACCCAGAAAAGAAAATGAAATATAAACTCGAAATTCTCTTACCAGAATCCCCTTTAATTCCTTCATTGCACTTTCAGAGGGCTTTGGTGTTTCTGGCTGTAAACAAGCACAACACAGGCATGTTAAAGAACACATGACACGGACCATGACAGTCTCTGCACTCAACAACAGGCTTCACACCAGGGGCTGTGCACAGGCTACAGCTGTGGCACGTTCTCCTGCTCCCTCTTTTTGTGGGCACATGGACAACATTCAATCTGTTCTCTTACACAGCTGAAGGGAAGAGCCTCAGCTCTTAACACTGTGAACCACAGACTATACATAAAGATCATACTTTTGTGCAGAAGGTAAGCAATATTTTATAGTAGCCACACTCAGGTATTAGGTGTAAGTATTACATAAAAGAAAGAAATAGTGCTAAATATAGTCTACTACTTCATCAACTCCTCTACCCAGTTCAGTTACACTCTCTGTGCTTTTTATTTCTCAGTAGTTGTTTGTTTACAAGTTTCTTTTCTGTGTCAAAGAAACTGGCCTTCTACTGTTGCCTTCATTTCCTTTTCTGTTGTTCAGCTATATGCTGCTCGAATGAATTTTATCCAAAATCAATCAAAGTAAATGAGGTGAGGAAAATGCATTCTTCAGAATGTTAAAGTCTGGTTTCTTTTCAGTGTAAATTACTGTACTTAGCTAATATTATTGCTCTGCTATTTATTCCAAACCTTTGTTTTAGGCCTGCTTGACTGGTTGACTGGTCTCAGGTGAACTCCCTTTTTAATTCTGTCCATCATTTCTTCAACAGCTTGTCTCTTCAGATCCGTAACTTCTTCACCTGTTCCAAAAATCAAAGACTCTATCATATTTCAGATAGGAACTACAGAGAAGTTGTACAAAGACAAAATGTGTTATACAGCCTCCTAAACAGCTTTCTTGCCATAGGCAGCCAGTTACCATAATCAGAAATTAGTTTTAATGATGAAACAACATTTACATATACAGTGTTCTTAGTTATACTCTGTGCAGTAGGTCTTCCTGCCTGCATGTGTGATGCATATTGCTCATGGACTATGCAGATCCACGCTTTCTCCCACTTTTATTAAAAAGATATAAGCACAAATATATATGTTTATCTTTTCCCCCGTAAGTGGGCTGTTCACAGGGCCTTTCTTACAGGAATACTATCTTACTCTTCCTTCTCCACACCACAAAGAGGCAGGTTACCTTACAATGCACACATCTTTATGGCAGCAGAAACCAGCAACCTCATCTCTAGTTGCAAGAATTCTAGATTATGAGAACTGCTGGATACAGAGCTATTAGAGATCTTTGCTATCAGCTTAACTGTCACAAGCTCTCCAAGGATAAAATGCCAATCTATCAAGGATCCTGCTGTGGATGCTGCAAATGCCAAACTGCAGAAGTTTGGGCAGAAGCAGGTCCCAGATCCTGAAAATGCAAAGCTCCTGTCAGTGTTTGGGAATGGCAAAAGCTCAATGCCAGAGGCTGAAGCCCCAGGGGCTGAAAAACACGGCTCTGCTTCCACTGTGTCTCCTCTCTGTGGCTGGGCAGAAATGCTGCAGCTTCACTGACACAGCACAAGCTGACAATGCCCCATGGCAAGGCCCATGTGCACAAGAGTACCAACTGTGTCTCCTATTCCACGTGGTTTGAGAACCTGGCTGGAACAACACACCAATACTTCAAACTGAACTGGACCCAAACATTTAAATAACACTGCATCAAGTGAAAGGGCAAAACTGAAATACCAGGAAAAGAAATGGCTGCTTTCTCAAGAGATCTGCTATTAGGACTGCAAAATATTCAGATGACATGGGATGCTGTGTGATGAACCTGAGCAATACCTGTTAACTTGTCAGTGTTCTGGATAATGTAATAAAAGACACTTAACATGCCATACCAAAAAGTGGGGGGAAAAGAGTACTTAAAGCAAACACATGGAGAAATAGGGTCGATGCTATTCAAAGCTGCAAGATTGTACCTTGTAGAACAGGAATATTAAAAAGGCTTTTGCTCTCTCACTTGTCAGGGTACTATTGATGATTCATAGAAATGCAGTTTCTGTATTCTAAGCCGATTTAATGTCAGGCTTTAATTTCACAAACAGGCTGTTTCAAATATAAAAGCTTAATTGGTGGTATGGGATAGAAACCACTCATTCTAAGTCCTTAACGAGGGTCAAAACAAGCCTCAAGTTGGATATAATAACTAGATCAAGAAAGAACTTTCTCCTTTTTTTATTTTTAAGAACAGCTCAACTATAAAGAGCAAAAAAAGGAGTTTATGTGTGATTGAAGAAAGGTCAGAACTGTTGAAGTTTGTTAATAAATAATGAAAGAATGGGGTTTAGAGAACATACAGTGAATTTCATAGTATTTACTGCAATGCAATCACTGTTTGGGATAGTTTCAACAAAAAGGTGTGATCAAAACATCTAGGATGCTTCAAGGTAAGGAACCCTGATAAATGAAGACACCATAACTGGACTTTTACTGAAAGATAAGATTGACTCTTCATCAGAGATTTTGGTACAAGGTCACTTCTCTTTTTTTTTTTCCAGACCAACACCCTTATTTCTCTCAGACTGGTAACCAGTTCCCAAAAATTCCCCAGGATCTGCCCAAGTCACTCCACTCCTCAGTTCCTCACCTGAAAAATGGAAGGGTAATTTTTTCCCCCACTTCTTGCCTGTTGGTTCCATCCCACAATCCAGCCTTACTTACATACCATTAGTCTGCTGACAGCAGATTTTTTTTTAACAGTTATATCCTATACCCGTAATTTCAGCCAGGTTTCCTTCTTTGTTTAAGTGTCAGCAAATGAGTTAAGCAATTCACCACAAACAAACTCCTGCTGTTTCAGAAGGAAGAGAGAAACAGCGAGAAAACCCTTGGTTATTTAACTGGCAATGCCTGTCTAACTAGTTCTGACTCTTCAGGCACTCATGATCATCTGTAAATCTCTGCTTAACTCCTGTTCTCAACCTACTAAGCTTCAAGCTTCCATTAACAACAATAAAATGCAATTTCAGCTGTTACACTGTGCATGCAGAGCCACCTTAGTGCAGGGCTCTGTTTTGTTTTAGGTTTTCAGTATTATTAAAGGATTAGCATTACAGTCAACTCTGAGTGGTAATTTCACAAGATATGAATCAAGGGATGAAAACCGAAGCATTTAACAAACAAGCTCTGTGGAGAGGCTCTGGACAGAAGAAACTGCAAACAAGAAGCCATCTGGAAGTTTGGAAGTTTCCCTGTATTATGCTGTATATAACCTGCTCTCTGCTTAATGCTTGTTGGGTTTGTTCCTCTGCCTCTTGCATGGAACCTGCACAAAGCCCTGCACACACTGTCCTGCAGTGACGTGCTGCAGTGTCTCCAGTTTGGAGGCACGGGTTGAACCCCTCAATGCTACCACAGTGCAACTACTTCAGGCAGCACCAAACTGCCAGGCTGCAACTCAACAAGCTGCACACAGCCAGTGTAACAGCATGGGGCCTAAAGTGAACCGTCCTGTTCTCCCCACCCATCTCACCCAGCACATCATCCCACCCAGCTACATGCTTATCTTCTCAGGTCACCCCGAATCCTCCTTTTCTCCAAACTAGACAAGCCCAGAGTCCTCAGCCACCCCTCACAGGAACACCAAAGATACCACTTCCCATCTCAGTGCACATATACCTGGGTTGCAATCCCCTTTCTGGACTCAAGGTAGAGGAGTGTGCTGGGACATGGACAGCTGTAGGAAATGTTGGCAACAAAAAGCATCTGAATGGCTCTGCACCCACAGCTCACTCCCACCAGCTCCACCTGCAGGACCCGGGGCATGAGCCACAGGACTCAAGAAGGGATGAGCCATACCTGACTCCTGCTGAGGAGGTTTCTCCTTCTTGCTCACATTGGTGTTGGAGTGAGATCTCTTGCGAATCATTGACATGAGAGACCTTTGGGGGAAATGAAAGTGCAGATTGTCATTCTGTCCTGTGTTACACACTGTCAGAATGAGCAGGAATGCCACACACCAACAGCTGGTTTATACCTGATTATACAGCTACTTACAAAAGACTCATTTAACTGTTCTTGAAAGCAGATGTATGCACTGAATTACCCCCCACAATGCCTCCCATCAAAACGCACCAGAGAAATGTCTTTCTTTTTAACAGACATTAGGCACAAATCAAAACACTCCAGATCTGAATATTAAAAGACAGTCTCATTGTGACACATGACAAATTGAAGCTGCTCCAGCATAATAAATGGAAAGAAGAGCTGTAGATATTGAAGTATTGTTCTCCAGAGGACACTTAAATATGGTGATCAGTATCTCCCCACCATCTCCAAGTTTGTAATCTTCTTACAGTGTCAAATAATTATCCCCTCACTACAGTCAAAACGCAGAAGTCCAGGCAAGTAAATGATTCATCTTCAAGCTCAAGTATAAGCTCCTGTGCACATGTGATGTGTCAGTGGGGCCTATCAGTCCCTACTGAGCACTGCTCCTTACAGAGTAGTGGCATCCCTGGCATAAAGGGTCAAAATCAGAAAAAAGCAGCATCCAGTGCCTACGCTCTGAAGTAACTTCCATGCACATAAACATCACAGTGCATGAGGAAATACTCTGACTTAGCTACTACAGGGCTTAAAGTGAACAGTTTTATTTATTCCAAATAGGAAAGGGCAAAAATTTAAACAAAAAAACCCTTACAATACCTCTACACATTCATGCTATACATTAGTGTGAAACGAGCAAGCGAGCTGAATGAGTTAATGGACATAAAAGAAGCAAAAGATCAAACACAACTGTTCAGAAAGTGTTAAGTTTCTAAAAACAATGCAAAATGCACAAAGGGATGAATTCTCCCGACTAATCATCTCTATTCATATATTTAATACAGTAGTTAACAAGACTCCTGTATGTCATTTCTACTACAGTAGGTTGGAAAGTGTCATTGAAGTCCATTTATTTTCAAAACCAAGCAGACAACATGAAGATTAGCTGAGTTTCTAAAATTAACTAAGCACCCATTAGGGGCTTACTTAATTAATCCATTTGGGTCTAATGCGTGATACATCAGACTGGTCAGCCTCTTTCTATAGTCCTTTGCGAAAATCAGGCCCAATTTTGGTAATTTTGTCCAAACCACCTGATGATGGGGTGATGATTTTATGTTTGGGGTTTTTTTCTTCCTTTTAACTTATGAAAGTAATTATGGGAACTCAATGGAGCCTGCATTTTCATCATCAGTATCCGACATGAAGGGACACACAGTAATCCAACATATCCTTTGGTTCAAAGGAGTTTTCTTTGCAGTAGAAAGCATTTCACAAGTCTATAATTACAGCTATCAGGTGAATAGAAAAAAAAAATCTCCTAAATTTAGAGGAGACAGGTACCCCTCCTCCTCCTTCAGGGTCAGAGTCTAGACAATTTGTTAAGCTTGGCAAGGCAGACACTGATCAAAACTGGTCAGGGTGTTAGTCTGTTGGTAGGTGGGGCACAGTCTGTGTCCTGCTGGTAAAGAGCCCAAGACAGGTGGAGAAAGCCTTTTTTTCTTTAAAGACACTCTTCCTGCTTGGATGCAAGCTCCTGTAATGAATTGTGCCCGTGCAAAGTATTAAAGCATTAACGCTGTGCCCCTCCCAGCACTTACCGTATAGGGTTGGGAGGGGGGGCGGAGGGAGGGGAGGAGGGGGCGGTGGAGGAGGAGGTGGTGCAGGATTTTCAGACTGCTGTACTCGTTTTTGAAGTTCATCAACTGCACAAGATCAATAAAACAAACCACAGTGAGTCTCAAAACCAACTCTGACGGTTGAAGAAAAAAATGCTACTTATTAACTAAAGAACAAACAACGAGAGGGAAGTCCTATTTTCAGCAACACTTTCTACCAAGAACAATGTCCTAGACACATGGGATTCCCATTAAACCAGTTACCTCCAGCCTGAGTTCCTTCTGAAACTAAAACTCCCCCTCATACAGGATTCTTCATATAAAATGACAGAGCAGGGAAAACTTCATCCCATTCCTGTGATGGTCTGTTTGAGGCTGCATTTGAGAATGAGCTAACGAGATGGAAGAAGTTGACAATTTCAGCTTCCAGACTTGATGGTGATGTGGGTTTTCCCCATAAAAATGGTCAAATGTGGGTGGTAACAGAAAGTATATTCTTTCTCTTCTGTTTACATGTCAGATCTAAAACACGGAAATTACTTTTCTGCACTTGAAATGCTGTCAAGTGTAATTAATGGGGAAGGGCAGAAACAGAGGGGAAAAAAAGTCTTGAATTTCTTTTAGTTACAGAAATTCTCAGCAATTGTTCTGATACAATAGGAATCTCACGTGGATATGGCTCACAGAATCACAGAATATCCTGAGTTGGAAGGGATCCCCAGGGATCATTGAGTCCAACTCTTAGCCCTGCACAGGTTCTTTGCTCTTGTAATGATAGATTCAAATTAAAATTACAATATTTTACACTTAATTTTAAATTTTAGAAGGTAAAAAAATTAAAGATCAACTGAGTGACTTTAAATTCCAGGTACAACCTTTATGCTGATAAATTCCTTCTGAAGAACAAACAAGCCTGGACGGAAACAATCTGCTGCCCAGGCATATTGTAGGTATAGGGTGGCAGGGGTGGGTAACGTAAAACTAACACAAAGCAGTTCTTCCAACAAAGACTGCTAACAAGCTCAAAGATAACCCTGCTCTTGAGGATATGTTTCAAAAAAACATGGCTATGCATGAAGCCTTAACCGAGGACAGAGACTTTGGCCTCCTGTGACAGGGGCTCAAACATTGCTCTGAGCAGGTATCAAACTTGAACCTTGCACTTGCATGGGCCTTGAACTGAACAAGGACTGCAAGCAAATGCACATGCAAATTCCTAACCAGCCATGGCCCCACATTCCCTATAATGAGGTCACACACACCAAGAGCCCTTTTTAAAACCAATTTTAAATTCAGAGCCTTAGATCAGAAATTTCCTCATTCAGTGGACAGGATGCTACAGACAAGCCAGGCACCATCCTGACTGCAATAACTGTATGAACCTGCACTGCAACAGTTGTTCCCTACTAAATATTCTGTGAATCTTTTCTGTTTGTATTCTTTGGGAGTTAGTTTACATCTTAGTAGCTAGCAAGACTGTTTCTTTCCTTTCATTCATTGAACTAAGTATTCAACCACAAGTAAGAGATTTAGATGTGTAATTCTCATGGATATGAGCCATAACAGCCCCCTGGATTTGCTTGGCTAACTCCCTTTGTAGGGCTCTGAAGGCAGTACTCATCTTCGAAATAACTGTTTAAATTAAAAACAACAGCCCACCCCTCCAGAGCCTCTCACATCAACAGACATGGTTTTCTCACATGTCAATATGAAGAGCTAAAATGTGTCTTTATTTTCACTGGTGTCTTCTATTGCAAGACTATTAAATGGCTGGGTAGCTTGATAATTATGGGATGTTTTTGTACAATTCATACAATGAAGACTCCCCAGTCTGACAAACCTCTAGTTAGTTATACCACTGTACTTTTTTTTAAACTAGGTAAGAAAATTGAGTTTGAAGGATTGTGTCTTTCACACAGACACCCATCCCATGTATATATCCATCTGTAAGACTCAGGGCAATTTAACAACAGTATTTTTGTACCTTACAGAAGTTTTACAAGGTTATTTTTTCACACACATTTTGGACATGATTGTTCTGCATTTAAGGGCAGTTGCTGTACTTTGTCTAGTGAAACACAGGCCTGGATCTCAGCTGAACAAAAGCTTCTGAGGTCTCAAACATAACATGTATAATTCCATTAGATGTGCACCAATCACCCTCCACACACTTCACCTCTAAAATGAAAGTCATTACACAATTTTACCTGAATGCTTTAGGTCTCTAGCTTTTTCTTCGGAGTGCTGACATTTAAGCTCTAGTTCCTTTTTATCTTCTTCCAAAAGTTCTAGTTGCTGTTTAAGACGACTAATCTCCTTATGCAGTGCTTGATTCTCTAGCTGCTCTTCCAATTCTTTGATCTGCAGTTGGCAAACAAGAGCATTCATCTCAATAAAATCCATTTTCTGTCCCTCCTGTTGACAAATAACCCACTAGGCACAGTTATCCTGAAAACATAATGTTATAGCATAGGAGTGAACTACAAGTCCTAGAAAGAGGAAAATGTTTGAACGAGAGCTGAAGAGATTTTTCTAAGAGATGTCAGAATTTCCTATTATGATCCCAACTTGCTTTATCTCTTCTTTAGAATATGTCTTTAGCTCTAAAGTACTTAAGCTGTAAGTCGCTCCCTTTTCTTTTTATAGAATTTTTATCACATAATTAGAATTTAATTTCAGAACGTTTCCTCATTTGAAGCACGAGAACGTTGACATTTTTGTTCTCTTACTGACTGCTTCCACTGACAGGCTGGTTATTTAAGCTCCCTTGTCTCAACTCATGCAGATGCCAGTGGGTGAATTATGGAATACCTGATTCAGAGGCAGCATTCAGATGCAGAGTAGCAATAAAGTCCCAGCTCCCTAAATATGTACCTTTTGCTCTAGACTCATTATCAGATTTGTGAGAACGTGTCTCAGGGTTAAAGGAAAGCTCATTTTCTGGGAAAGCAATGGTGATTTCTCCCAGCTAAGAGATTTATCTAGTCCAGTTTTAAAGAACATATTTGTTCATATCCCAGCACTTTAGATCCTATTTAGATCCACATTGTAGCATTCAACTACCCTTTCCCTGCTCCAGTATGCTTGGCTTTTCCCCATCCATTTCTTTAGCAAGACCCAGACTACTACCTCTGCCTAGGAACTGCCTACCTCTCACCTCCTGGTATTCTAAGCTTATCCTCTCAAGATGGCCTTTACATTACTCAATGTCCAACATATTCTCCTGTCATCTCTTTACTTAATGGAACTTGACTTAGTGCTTGTAACTGCACTTTACTGACATTCAGAATAAAATACTTACCTAAACCAGAGGCTTCAGGCTGAAAAGCCTTCAAGTTTTGTACTCATGTCTTAACAGTGACCCAGAAAAAGGGAATCACAATCTTCTCAGAAACTTAGCTTATAAACTCTGAACTCTTACAGTGGATAAGATCTCAAATAACTCTGAATACAATAAAGACACAACACTCCTTAAATTCTGGAGACTTTCAAAGACTTCCACATAAAGGGAAAGAAACACAGTTTTACCTTTTGCTGGTGTTGAAGCCTCTCTTCTTCTAATGCCTGGGTTAGCTTAGCATTGTCATCCAAAGCCTTCAAAAGCTGTTGATCAGGAGCAGAATTTTGCAGAAGCAACTGACTCTGCCTTTTCATCTTGTTCTGTTCAATAAACATCTGCCAAAACAAAACCCACACCCAACAAAAACAACAGTTAGGCACAGTCTAATGCTATCCTGGGGAAAATAGCAATTGGAAAGAAAATGAAGTTAACAGGGTGTTAATGTGGCAGAAATAGTGAGGAAGAAGGTGAGAAGGAGGGGGAAAGGAAGTTTGAGAGTAAAATTTACAGGAGCTAAGCTCACACTGAAAGGAACCAGGTGTTTGCTGAGAACCACCCACTGCTACACCTCAATTACCCACACATTGGCAGCATTCAAAGTTAAAGTACATCTCTGAATTTTGTTTCCTGGAAATGGGAACAATCTGGCCTCCATTTGGGGAGCTCTGGAAAGACTGAAAGAACTCTAGGTGGAGGATAAATGTCTGTGAATTCATAGGTTACCTCCTCAAACATGCATGCAAGCCTTGGCATAAAGCCCACTTATTTGAGGGTTACCTGGATATGTGAATGATGGAGAATCTTTGGGAAATGAATTTCACTCCATGTCTGTGTAATCACTGTATGCACTTGCCCCAGGAAAAGGCATTTCAGGGCAATTTCAGCTTTTTAGTTCTGATCCTTGTGTTCTTTCCCCTTCCCAAGTTATATTTTTGATATGGCGAATGAACATTGGGGGGGTGAAAATCAAATAGTCTGAAGACTTGACACTGATAAAAATACCACACACTTCTCCAGGCTTCACCTAAGAGGTGCAGAGGCTGGCAGCACATGCAGTTTCTGTAAGAGATCGGCTCCTTCCAGACTGTTTAGGAACCCGGTAATAAGAGATTGCTTCCTGACAAAAAAATTCCTAGTGAAGTTATTCTGCACCTTGACATCTCTTTCAGGTAGAGGTTTTCCCCCAGGCAACATGGGCTTCCACTCGAAAAGCTCAGCCATGCCTGTTCTTACAGCAGAAACAGGGACTGGGTCATGCTGAGGTCTCAGATGAGTGTGCACAGGTCAGCAGAGCCACTTATGGCAGGAGAACAGAGAACAGTCTGAGAATGCAGATGCTCCCTCAGACTGTAAAAACACTGTTGTACTGTAGAGCACAGCAAAAGCACAAAGGTATTTTAAGAATAAGATATTAGAAATACAAAAATTCCAAATTCCCATCCTATTCATTCACAAACGAAATGTACAGACAAAATATGGTTTCTTCCCATCTGGTGCTACTACAATGCTATGTGATTACTTGTTTTAATACAACTGGATATCCAAGAAGTATGAGCTGATGCAGATTTGTGGTAAGCACTCCATCCAGTGCTTTGCACAGCCACTTCAACTGAGCCTTCCTAGCAAGCAGCTCTGGGGAGCTGTGCAGACAGACACAGACCCACTGACCGTGCTGAACTCTGAGTGGCAGCACAGCCTGACCCTGCGGGCCAGCAGGAGCCAATTGATGCGGCCCTAATAGCAATAAAAACTGCCCTGAACACTCCACTGGGCAGAGCTGGGCCATGGGGGCAGCAATAAAGCACTGGAAACATTCGATGGAGAGGAAATGATGAATGTAGGCTCTAGTACTGCACTTTGCTAGAAAACAAACAAAACCAAATCGATGACAATACACAGGCCACTGTGGTGTGCTGCAAATGTGCACTGGACATCAGCTCCCTGTCCCTAAATTCTGCCAGTCAAACCATTACGCTTATGTTACCTTACACTAGTAGGGCAGTGGCAAAACCAATTCAAAGGCAAGAGAATTCCAGAATCAAAGTTACCCACAACGATCCATAAAGGTTTGCCTTTGCATTGCCACTCATTCCTTTAACAGTTTATACTTTTAAAAGAAACAGCATCTTTGAAACATCATAGTTGAGAAGGGCCCAAATCACTGCTAAAGAACTCAATACTGGGTCAAAGCCTCCTGTGTTGCAGTCAAGTCACTCAGAAGTTATTTAACCCTGACAGAACCAGTATCTCCCTAAAAGCCACCTTTAGTAAACATCTCAGTTTACCCACTGTGAACCTTCAAAGCAAAGTGAAAACTTGGATTTATTCTTTTTGGAATCTAAAAAATAGTTCGAGGTGATCAATTGCAGATTTTATTCACCAAGTTGCTGCCACTATATCCAACAGAGTTGTTCCAGCCTGAGGGAGCAGAAAGTTGCCAAAACAAGAAGAAATCAAGTAGAGCAACTTGATTTCTTCAACTTGAGCAGGTACTTCACCAAATGCAGAAAATTCACATTCACTTTGTTTCATGTTCTTCTGCAAAATGAAAAAAATCCTTTTGAAGACCTGGGTGAAAATTTTTTCATTCGGAAGCTTTCACATAAAGTCCTGCATTTTCAATCACCATTCTAAACTGCTTTCATGATACTGCAAATACGTTCCTGCTTACAATTTATATATATATATATATGGAAATGTCTTCAACACCACAAAAAAAATTGTTGCTTATAATGTAAGACTGCAATCAGACCGCATGGGGAGTCCCATCCATTTCAGAAGTTACTTACACACACGTTCTTTAAGTGCCAGCATATTCTAAATGGAAGGGACAAAACTAGACAGGACAGTTGTGTCAGACAAAGCAGAAAGCAAGCTGGTGATGAACTGATTGCAAGTTTTTAAGAGGCTGCTCTGTGTTTGAAACAGGACAAAAAAGACCCTTAGAAATTATTTCTAATTTAAAATTTAAAAAATCAATTCCTGCTTCAGCAGGGCAGAAATCTGACTGTCTGCACAACCCTGAATATTAATTAAAGTGACTGCTGAAAGGGCAAAACAGCTACTAACAAGATTACTTGGACGAGGTGGAATTTAACCAACGGATGGATTAGTTCCGACTTTGCCACCTGCTTGACAATTATCTGCAGAGTATCCCAATCAATGCTGGAAACACAAGTCGATAGTGGAGGAATCCACTGAAACCACGACTGCAGTTAAAGGCAGATCACAAAGAAAAATAGTTTGCTTACACCTATCATTCTAATTTTAAAAATCTCCAAGTGCTGTGCAAACCAGTTATGTATCTTCCCCCCCCCCCCAGTTTACGAAGAGAAGCCTCAAACCACAGGAAATCTGGGACTTGGCCACCTTCCATTAGTAGACTTTACACAAGAATTGAGGAGGTGAAAAAAGAGAAGGGGGTGAAAATACTGGAAGTTTTTCCCTTGACCTCAGTGGGACCACACCTCCTTCTCAGACCCTTGCTCCAACCATTACCCAACGGAGCATTCGCTGCAGCTGCTTTTTGTTTACACCAGAGCTGAAAAAGGAATTCTTCCTCATTAAAAAAGTTAGAAAGCAACTCCGTTAGTGTCAAGTCCCTGGGAACACTGACCCTCGTTCAAATAACGTTCAGGGGAAAACTGGACGCTTTCCAACTAACTCTTCCCCCAGGAGCAAAATGAGGCCAAAAGAAATGCTTTAATATCCATGTGTGACTCCACTTTCATCTGTACATCATTTGGGTATTTGCCATTTTTGTCTTAGCTACAGTTTGAAGGAAGAAGAAGGTCCCAATACAGCAGCACTGTTATACTGGGGTAATCACTGGTTGCATAAAGTAAAATAAAAATCAGTGGCAAACACTATACAATATGAATAGAATAACAAAAGGCAAATAGCAAGGCAGAGTAAAATTTGGGAAGTCTCAAACAGAAAAGATCACTCGACTGAGCAGTTGGCCCTTATTTCAATCCTGAGCAGCACTTCCCCATCCCCTCCCACAGCCCAGTGAAAAATCAGTAAGACATGCTCATGGAGTGGCAATCCATTCATCCACATTTGTCACAGTTTACAGAAGCTGATGCCTTTTGCATCCTGGGTACCCTGAAGCCTTATGTTCAGACCTGAAACACACCCCAAGGGAGGTAGGATCAAGGTACTTCTATCTCCCCAAAAGAACAGGCTGTTTGAAGGATTTTTATGTGACGGAGACAGAGTGATCTGGTGATTATGGCCTGACAGAGCACTAAGTGGCTCTAAATTCAGGAGGTACTTGGATTAAAATATAAATCCAGGTGTGGCTTTTAATTCAATGGCTAATCAGGGGGAAAAAAAAAATATATAAAAAATATATTCCTTTAGAGGAGCCAAAGACTAGTCCTAGTTGGATTTTCAAACTGCAAAAGAAAACTGAGCAATGTGACCATGAAAAAGGACATGTGTCTAATATGGGCAGCCAACTCTTCTAGATGAGTAATAATACTTTAGACTAATAAAGCTACAATACAGCTGTTTTCAGTTATTTGGTTAATTGCCAGACAATGTCTGAAGGGACTATTTCTAAAGAGTTAAAAGATGTAGCATTAGCACTTTTTGTGGCTCAGAAGAAGAGGTCTAATTTATTCAGAATGGGAGAACTGGAGTAGTTAAGTCTATTTCTTGTCCATCATTTGCTTCTCACCACAGAGGAGCTTGTAGCATGTATTTTAAGCGTGAGAAAACTGAATTCCCATCAACGGTGTGACTTCCTTAAAAACAGAGTATTATTTATTTTACCAGGTTGTTCTATATAAAAGGAGTTGACAAATTACAGCACTCATTCTTTTCTTATGAGGCCCAACCACCCAAGGCCCAAAATAAAGGGAAAAAAATAATCGTAATTGTTACTTATTTCTGCATTTCCTACAGGAATTTTTTTTCTCATGGTAAAAGCATAGTGATACATTCTATAATGCTCACAGTCTTGCAGCATTTATACACCATCTAATATGTTCAGAAGTAGATCACACACCACATAAAAAAGGAAGAAACCTCTTCACTTCTTTTCCCCATAGATTGACTGCCCGAACAAAAAAGATGGGAGGGGAAAAGAAAGAGACCAAAGAGATAGTTTCCTGGAGCATACATCTGTTACCATTTCACAAGCATGTTCTTGGGAAGAAGCCTAACAAAAATATTAGCATTACATCATACTTCAAAAGTGGTAACATTCAAGCTCAGGAGAATTCAAGCACTATTTATCATGTTTAATTATTATTTCCAGTTCAGTCAGCTGGACAGCAAATAATTACCTTCAGATATCAGTTGCTGCTGAACTCCCCCTGGTAATGCACAGAGTGTGGTACTTGTAAGCAGAGTTGCTCCATGAGTGCAGGTTTTGCAGTACCCACTCAAAGATGTAGCACATTAATGCAAAAGTCCTCACAAATTAACCCAAAAATCACAAATGCATCTGAGGAAGCACTCTCTGGGGGCTCACATCATCAAGATAACCAAATCCACTGCATGCAACCTCATGAGTAGTGCAGACATCTGTTAAGAATGACAATAATTTCCCCCAAGTCTCTATGGGAAGATTCAGTCTCAGAGTAAGTAATGTCATCTGTGCACTGGCCCATGTATGGGATGCTGGTATTTTGAGGAAATACAAGTTAAATGCAAACATGTTGTTGTGCAACAGTTACTTAGAAGCACAGACAGGTGTAGGATGGCATTTTAAGGCATCCATAAGTATTGAGCATTGGAGGGAAAGTCAATGAAAGGATGAACGATGCACATTACAGATCCATTTAATTTTTTATCCATCTGGACCTTAGTTCCTTTGAATGCAGCCTTTCAACTTCTCAACTGGAAACATTTTTGCAGGTTACCATAAACACCTGGGAAACCTTTCATTTTTTTTCCAGTTGTGCATTTTGAGCAAAAGCCTGTGCTAGACTGAGAAGTGAGAGGCACTCCAGCAAACTGCTCAGCAGTTTGACACTTCATTTCTATTTCTTCACGATACAAAAGACAAAAACTAATAGTTAATATTCTTCATAGCAGCTGATACGGGGTTGTGTTTTGGATTTTCGCTCAAAACAGCACTGATAACAGAAAGATATTTTCCTTATTGCTGGGCAGGGTCTACAGAGAGTCAAGACCTTTTCTGCTCCTCACCCAACCCCACCAGCAAGTGAGCTGGGGGTGTACAAATTGCTAGGAGGGGACATAGCTGGGGACCCCAACTGACCACAGGGATATTCCAGACCACATGGCATCATTCTCTGCACATAAAGCTTGGGGAAGAAGAAGGAAGTGGGGGACATTCAGAGTGATGGAGTTTGTCTTCCCAAGTTATATGGGATGGGAGTCCTGCTTTCCTGGGGAAGGCCGAACTCCAGTCTGCCCACGGGATGCAGTGAAGGAATTTCTTGTTTTGCTTTGTTTCTGTGTGCAGCTTTTGCTTTACTTATGAAGCTGTCTTTATCTCAACCCATGATTTTTCTCATTTTTATCTTCTGATTCTCTCCTCCTATTGGGGGGAGTGAGCAAGGGGCTGAGTTTCCAGCTGGGGTTAAATTACAACATCTCTTTACAAAATATTTTTGCAAGGCAGAATGTATGTTTAACAAACCACTTATGTAAGATTATTTTGTAAAACTCCTGAGATTTTTACATCGCTAAGACTTTCAATTTACTTCTCACACCATGTTCCCCTCTTTTGGCTTGCTTTGGCTGTATGTATTGTATTTTGCTCATCTTTGTGGAAGAGTGCTTTTCAGGGCTAGCCTCTATATTATTGCAATGGCCTTCAAGATACTCTTTACCTTCCTTTGTTTTCCTGTAAACTACTTCGCAAACAGCTGAGAGATCTTACAGAGTCTCTTAAACCTGACACTAGAATTCTGGTTAAGCTTGCCAAGATTCCTGTGTTAACAACCCTGTTTTAGTCAGGCAGGTACAGATTTTTCCATGCCTCCGCCCCTTACACACTCTATTTATTTAGTTCTTTTATGCAGATTCCTGTACCTTTCACAACGGATTGTGACTCACTTCAAATCCTCTTTGCTTTTCCTTCCCCCTCTCCACACCACGGCTGACAATATTTACTCAGTTTCTTTAGAACCTCTAAAGAGCATGAATTCTAATGTTTGAAGTTGGATCATTTTTGATTAATTAAATATATATTATGGTGGTGCCAGCAGCATGACTATAATTAAAGCTGTATTGGGGTTTTTTATTTTAATCAAATGCTCTGATTTTCAAGTGCTCGCTCACTCCCCATCTCTTGCTCCACATCTTTCCTCTCCTCCATCTGCGTTTGCTCCTGCACACATGCTCACCCACCCATTATCTCTCACACCTGCACTCCCAAGTGCTCACCTGTGGCAAATCTTCCTCACCTGTTAAAAGGGCAGCAGGCAAAGGGCACCCCTTCAAAAAGCAGCCCACACCTGTCCCTTCCCTGGTCCCTTCCCATTGCAGCTCCAATGCAACCTCAGGAAGGCAAAGCTGGAGGATGAAGCCACACTATGGAGAAAGGAGTGACTGTGAATATGTGGGCCAACTACCCCATGAAGGCAAACTTCAGATACCCTAGCCCCCTGAAAGACAACGTGCCCACCACCAAAGAAGCCCCTCCGCAGGCAGCACTTCTATATTTCAAGCTAAAAGACATGTTTGGGCTGTTTGAGATATCACGAACACTAAGATGTGCCATTCCACAGTCTCTGCCACGGTGCTGTGGTGACAACGGCATTACTTGGAGCCTATTTCCTTTCCTGAAGTGCTCCAAAGAGGCTGAGCACAAAGCACTGGACGTTCAGTGTTGCCCTTTACTCAATAGCTATTCCTTCTCTCAACACCGCACAGTTTATCACAACCAACCACTGTGGCTTTTGCAAAATCCAGGCAAAAATTCAGCAGAAAATTTGTTTTTTAAAAGAAACATTCTATATGGACAGAGAAACCAGGTGGCTAATGAAAGCAAGCAGAAAATCCCTGAACATCCTTAGCGTAATCCAAACAACAGCTACTGTAAGCACATCCTAGAAAACTTAGCTCTCAAAACACAGCTGTGACCTTGTGACATGATCCATGTGAGAGAACACTCACACAACCTCACTCAAGCAGAAAGCTTTGCTGCTGTGGCTGCAGTTGTGGGCCAGAGCCTGTGTCTCTAATGTCTCAGGTCACTCAAGGGACACCATGAGTGTGAAACCATGCCAATGATAACAGATTTCTAAGTAACTTGAAATACTAGTTCCCCAAACACACATGAGCAAAGCCTTTTTTGTCATATGCTCCCGTATTTCCAAAAACTTTCTAAACATCTTTCTGCACAGCGGGATACCGAAGGAAGACAACCAGGCACACACAGGGAAGACTAATGCAGGCCTGAAGTTCACTGTTGCAGTGACTCCATTTGAATGGGAGAATTTCATGGAATGAAAAGCTTCAAGTGAGCAGCTTCAGTGACAGCCTGCAACAACAGGGGCCCATATTCTCAGAAGAGACAACAACTAAATCATCACAAAATCCAAGAAATACCTGTTTGCAAAAAAACAGCATTTCTTTGGACTTGTACTAAACTTCTTGCCTCTTAGTTTGTTACTCAATTACAAAAAGTACTTTCAATGTAATTGTTCAAAATGAATATGTACCTGAACGCTACAGTTATGAATCTAAACAGAAGCAACATTCTGCCCTCAAGTATCAGATTATACTTTTATCTGAAAAACAGCTTAACTACATATTCATACTCATTTCTGAGAGATGTAAGACCTTTATGTACAATCTTCTGTTGTCAGTTAATGAGTAGAAGCACAGAATTATTCTGTACTTCAGAAGACAAAGCAAAACAACAGGAGATGTAGGATTGATACTGTAATAATGCATGCTAAATGTACATTCTTAGAAATATGTTTTCTTAAATGCTGCAAAGTTCTCCAACCTTTTCACAAAGCACAGTCAGGGACAGAGAGCAAGTGCAAGAAACATCTGGGTTCATTTCCTCACCCCTGGCTTCCAGACTATCAAATTTACTTATGTTCTATCTCAAATTCTCCAAAATTTTGTTCTGTTTAAAATGTTGCAATGATTCTGTTCCTACCCAAAACACTCAAAACCCAGCAAAACCCACAACATTAACAGAACACACTAAGTCTGTTCACTGTTTTCTACACCGGTTCAAAATGCATATATGCCCTTGCTTAAAATAACTGACTGAATGCAGTCAGCTGTACAGGAGTTATTAAATACACTTTTTAGCTTTTTTTTTTTTTTTGAGACAGAGCAGCAGCAAAGATAAAAAGCAAAAGAGCTCTCTACTCGAAGCTGACTTCCTGAAGGCTAAATACCTGCTTGCTGGCAGCCACGGTTTCAAAATCTAAACTCCGTATCAGATATCACATGTTTCCCTTTACAATACTTCAGTATTGATGATTCATGTAATTTTGATATACAATGGCTTTCTTTAAACTTGAGCTCCCTGAAAAATGATTACTTAGGAAGCCCAGTTTTTATTAAAGAAAATATTGATGCACAGCTTGGGATAGAAAACCTTGAAAGTAAAAACCAGGTGCAGAGCTTTTAAAATCCAGAATGCAAACAAAACAAGAAAAAACCCCAATCCAACCTAAACCAAACTCATGATTTTATAGGGCTTCAGTCTATCAACAGAATGAAAGCAATTGTTAGCATTTTCTAAGGCAAACATTGCCAGTCACAAGCCAACAGAGCAGCCACCAGCCATTCCATAATGCTACCCAGTAACTCATTTTCCCCTTTGGGAATTTATATCTTTTCTAGAACATGGAAACGATTTTTTTTCAGCTTGAATGCTCCCTGCAATAGGTTATTCAAAAGGTACATGTTAAACAGCAGCCAAACTTGCACAAAACTCAGTTAATATTGTATTTCTGCAGCATTTATTTTATGAGTCTACATACTTTTCAGGAACGACACAGTGCTTCAGATTGTATCACTAGAGGGGCAGCTAACCCCTCCCAGATCCAACCACCACACCAAAATGTTGGTGCTAAGCCCATTAGAAGCCTCACCTTAAAAGGGGACATAGGTAAGACTGCAGGAATAATTCTGAAGTGCTTTATAAATGCTCTTGAAACAGTAAACTCATTTTACAGATTAAGTACAGATGTTAGCTAAGCAGGACATGGGGTTGCACAAGAGTGCAATTGGTGAATTGAAATCAAGTCATCCAAGGTGGTAAGTTCTTGCCTAGTTGCAATGTCTTAATTTTACAAGATCCCTTTTTCTCAACTACTCACCTCTTGTGCAAATGACTCTGCTTTCTTCCGCAGGTTCTTTTCCAGTTCAAAGTTTACACGGAGCTCTTCATATTCCTCTACTGCCATCACAGACACTGTTTATAATAAACAAGATCAGAAATAAAAGTCGAATGGATCAAAAGAAGAACTAATGTTTGATAAGCTGTTATTCCCTAGTGTCATGAATCCTTGTCTGACAGTGTAACCTAGTTTTACATTTCTGCATACACTTTGCTTTGTCCTACTTGCTCTAAACCTCATATATATGCACAATTACTGATCTTCTGAATGAAGCAATACTCCTCTATTCAGACTTAAAATCTCCAGTAACAGACACAAGGTAGCACAGACCATATTTTGCCTCTTCGGGTCTAAGCAACCAAGGCCTCGAGAGAGCTTTGCTGATATCAGAGACCGCTGTGTTATTTTGAGGCATCTGTATTTGTCTGCCTGGTTTGAGTGAGGCTAGATGTGCCCCTTTACAACAGAGATTTAAAGGAGCCCCAGGAAGAAAGCAGTACAATTTTGTGTTGCCTGTATTTAAACTGTGCTCTCAAAAGCGAGGCTCTACGGGTGGCTAAAGCTTAATCATGGACATGCTTCCCAAACCATTCTGAACAGGCTGCAGTCCAGGACAGCAAGGATCATCCGAAAGCACTCAACTGTTTATTCTTAACATGGCTCAGTGATCACTTGCAATATCTTGGTAGGTTTTAGCTCTTATTGGCTGAAGACTAGTTTGCAAGGGGATGACACTGGATTTCTAACACAGCTGTAAACAGGTTCCTTACTTTTTTGGAGATAAGCACAATACCCAATAAACAACCCACATACTTAGAAAAGCTTAAGACAAATCCAGCGCCTCTGCCTGAAATGCATTGAGTACACAGCTCCAATACAGTGCCCCACAGACACAGGATACAGTAGGTATTGAATAGATGCTCTGGTAGCTCATTTCAAGCATACAAAAAAGTCTTGCTTTATGTTGCCAGTGCATTAGGACCTAGACCTTTCCCCTTCCTTCCTGGAAAACAGGCAAATGTGAAACTAGGGGTTGTTCGTTTGATCATGCTTAGAAAAAAGAAAACATCTAAGAAACTTTTCATCTTCCACACCATCCTATCAAAATCTTTATGCTCACATGTTTCATTAATGTATCTGAAGTTTGTTGTTATAAGAGTCTTCAAATATTGCCTGTCATAAGCTTAAGCAATGTAGACACATGGAAGAGATGGACACTTGGTGGAAGCTTACAGGATATGCCCTAACAGAACTTGGCCAGACTCACTGTCTTCCCCTTCAGGAAAATGTGAAACAGCCAGTAAGACTTTCAGCCAAACAATTTTTAATTTCATGAGGTTAAATAAGGAACAAGAGAAAAGAGCACAGTAATCCAAGGCACAAAAACGTTCCCCTCCTCTCTATACTTCTTTGGGGTCAACCATTGCTCATGCAGAAGTACTCACCTTCATTAGCAAAAGCTTTTCTTTTCTGAGCCATATCTCTTTTTAGACTTCCACTACCCTGGGTTTACCTCTCTTCTCTTTCCAGGAAAGGAAAATTTCTGATTTCCTTCCATAATTTGGAAATCTTATTTCTCACATTCTAGCACTCTAGCATCTTTTTCTCATCATCCTCTGAACATAAACCAAGTCGCTCCCAAGTCTTTAGATATTCAAAATGGTTAGCTGTGTCCCAACTTAAATGAAAATTGATATAATGTTTTAGTAAAACAGGAGACTGAGGTTCAAACTCCACTTCTTGGAAGGACTGCCTTTGCCACTGCAACTTGTGCCACACAGAAAAAAATGTTTCCTATCTCATGTTAACACCTGCTATTTAAATTGTCACATTTTCCTGGAGTACGGATAGGCTAGAACAGTCCATGTGTTTATGCAGTGCCTGCAGCAGTAAGGTCAAGTGTCAGATCTGGACCACAGTCACTGTTCTGTAACCTACTCTTCACACTACAATATTAAAGCTCTGAGGCTTCTGCAAAGGATGCAGCAAACTGTTAGAGAACCTGCTGAGACCACACACCTCTATTACATTTCTCCAAAAGTTTTTGTTGCTTATCGACTTCCGTTGTCAAAACAGCCTTTTCTTCTTTCAATTTATTCACCTAGAAAAGTAGAAAGAATACACAGAAAATAAGGGCACTTTAATCAGTGGCCTAAGGCATATAGCACAGCTATAATGCAAGCAGTATTTTGCTTTCATCAGCTGTGTTTCTTAGGTTTAGCTTGATGCTAGGGTTTCCAATGGGATGGAAAGCATTTTTACTCCACCTTGAGATGTCATAACAGATGTCATAAAAGGGTTATGAGCCAGTCCTCCCATGGCATGTTCCAGTCACAGCTGCAAATATCTTTGGAACCTTTCAGGATCAGGCACCTGGTTGAAGTTACTAGCTTGCCCTTGACTTTTTGCATTTTAATATAGTCAGACTTTTGGGTGTTTTTCCTGGGCTCTGTTTATAAGTCCAAGAGCTGTCAGCTGTGTCCTTCTGAATGCAAGTCTTGCATGGACAGGAAGAGCCACTAAGTCCTGATTTGCATCAGTACATGGCTTATCCAGTTTTCAACCAGGAATGAAACTCTGCTGGCTCAAAAAGCCAATTTGCTGGTCTAACTACCATGACAGGGCACTGCCAATGGCTAAACTTAAGGATATGTTTGATGGAGTAGCACCAGTGATTAAGCTACGTGTCCTACAAAAGTATTTCTTGCACACCTACAGGTTTAAGGAAATCCAAAAAACCCCTGCAGGCTGTGATGAGCTGTCAGGAAGGGGAGGTGACAGTTACAATACGGGCATTTGAACAGATCCCACAGATGATGAAAAGTCCCGCGCCAGCAGGGGCTGAGGGGGCTCTGACAGAGAAGGCTCCTTGTGGGCACACAGCCCGAGTGATCCAGCACGGGCAGGCTGGCAGGACTCACGATTAGACAGGATTCAATTAACTTCACAACTGAGCCTTTTTAGCAAAATTAGATACAAAAAGTACCAACTACAAGCTAGCACGGTCTCGCCTTCCATGGTACAATACATACTTCTTCAATTACTTCTACAAGTTTGCACCTCAGGTTTTCCAGTTCAATGGCTAAGGTCTTCTTTTCCTCATGAACAGACACGACTTGATCTCGCAGTTCTGCAGTTTGAGGAAGGAAACGAAAAATATATTTGATTCAAAAAACAACAAAGGAAATGTCATAGCAATGGGAGTACGGCTGAGTACGAAACACCTAAACTGCACATCGAGCATCAGTTATAATCAAGGTACATCCTCAATAATTTATGGAATTTGCACAAGTGTCAAGTAACAGATCTACAAGAGGGCTACAGTTTCAGATTTACTCTGTTGAGGTAAGCTGCCTTGTTCAGTACTGCAGTCTTTATTTGCATCCTGAATGATTCATTTCCTGCTACGATGGGGCCAATCCTGCCACCACAGAGTGTCCTCAGTCCTACTCAGGAGACTGTCACGTCACAGAGACTCTGGTATGGAGGCAGCAGAAAGCAATTTTTAAGAGGCGTCCTTTAAAACAAATTAATGCACTTAAATTCTTTTTGGATCATGAGTTCTTGTCACAAGGGAAATAAACAAAACAACAGGCAGTTAATACTTGGGAGGTTTTCACTGAAGAAATTGTCCTGAACAGCTGCCAATTTATAGTCTTTGTAACATTATGTGAACAGAGTCAGAATAAACCTTTACTGATGGAAGAGCTAATGCTTGTAATTTTCCCCTCAGAATTTTTATTCCTTAATTATTAAAATATGAAATAAATTAAAGTCACAATGGAATAAAACATTTTATTATAATCACTTCTTAACAGGAGATCAGTTTGCATACATAATATATCAAGGTTTAGGTTAACATAAAAACACCAGAAAAAATAAAAATTTATTGATATATATTAGCTTTCAGTAAGTGCTCTCATTCCCCACCTGCTTCCAGTATTTCACAGCAGTGCCGTTCAGTGAATACCAGCCACGAGTTGGGAATATTGTGGCTAATCAACTGCAGATAATGATGACATCCCAGATGTCATTCTGTTTGGTCTCACATCTTGACAACATTGATTCTACACCAGCATCCCCCCTCCCAGCTCAGGAGCTTCAGACTTACTGTCCTCTAAATGAAAGGCATATGTTTTCTAAAGTAAATAAAAAGACCTGTGTTCCTGGAAGATTCTGGAACCAAACAGTCTGTTTTATGGATTTGTGTTTTCCAGCAACATTAATGAGGAAAAAAGTCTCACTGAAATTATTAAATCTGGTTTTACAACACATATATCAACCTCATCGTCTAGAGAAGAAAGCATATCCACATACTACAAAAAGCCTCAGACTTTACTACCTTATCTGTGTATCCCTACAGAAAAGTGGTGGGAGGGAAGGAATCACTCCAAGAAACATCCAAGACTTTGCTGAATGGTGAGAAGGACTTCCAAAATCCCCAATATGCCACTTTTCATTCTTTAATGAATTCTTCATCAAGACAGAAAGCAGATACATCAGAGCCTTTCTAAAATATTTCCCTAATTTGGCTGCTATCCTCCTAACAGTGTCCTCCTCTGATCTGCAGCCTGTCTTCGCTTTCCTTAACAGTATTCTTGACATCTTCCTCCAGGAATGACAGGAGGGACCTCGAGTCTTATTTCCAATTCAGGTGGGATCACATCATTTGCTGTTGCTTTCCTACATCTATAGGATGGAAACCGGCTTATTAAGGATACTGTGACACCTTATTTCTTGGGTGGGACTGTTTTAAAAGCATTTTTACACTATTCGGTCCTTTTTCTCAGTGGTGCTTTGTACCACTTCATTGTTGCCACTGCATTTAAATAGAAAAAATTAACAAGGTCAGGCTGAAAGTTCAGAAAAGCTGTACTTAAACATCATTTGCTACCGTAAATTGCAATCAGAAAAAATACGAAAGCTTTTTTTTTGAAGTGAAACACTCAATCGCTCTTGTCACTAAATCCAGAATGTGGGCATTCCCCTTTTTTACTATGACACAACAGAATCACCATGATTTCATCAAAGGGACTAGAAAGGAAGGTTGATTTTCGATTGCAGAAATACAAGCTGGCTTTCAAAAAAGAACTAGATATTTCTGAAACAAAGCACAGATTTCTGTTATTAGTATATTTCCATGTTCTCAAGCTTTCCTGTTTTACCCAGTACAACAGTCCCTTTTTAAGTTGCTTGTTTAGTAACAGCTCTGGAACATGAATGAAGTTTACGCATACAAAAGTGCATAATGTATACAGCAACAGTCCTCTATTACAAACTTTGAAATAGCGACAGAGCAGTTGAAGCAACACGAAAGTGATCTTGTCCTTCTGCTAAATTTACTAAGTGTCTCAGGAAATACTTCTTTTACTGAGTCAGTAACACTGAACTCTGTTGGCTGTCCATCTCACTTTGCTATTGCACTGTAACTCACTTTGCAGGCTGCATATCCCCCGGGTTTGTCACACAGCATCACTGCCAGCCCACCACGTTCTTAGTCAGGCCTGGAAATCCTTTCATTCTGACCACGTTCACAAGTGTGGCTCAGAACCAGACCATCTCTGGTACAATCCAAGCCTGCTATTCTTTAGACAACTTCTGCCCTGTAGGGCAGTGTAGGATCAGCAACAATGCTCACCTTTTATTTGCTGCTGACAATGCACAGAATTGCATGACCCAGAGCTAGTTTCCGCATCTGTGGATGATTCATCTTCATCAATGTTAATCTCTTCAGTGATAATTTCTGGGCCCAGTTTTGCCATATAAATCATACTAATTCTTTTCAAGGTCTTATTTTCTTTGTTCAGCTGAAAGTTAAGAAAGACAAACAGCAAGCAGTTAGCCTGTGTTTAAGCTGTGTGAGTAAAAAAAGTCAACTGTTTTGTTTTTTTTTTTCCTCTATCACTAAAAGGTCTATCAAACAAAGAAGAAAAAATAACATTAGATTAAGTGTTCCATTCAAAATTAAAATGGTCTAAAGATGGGATGCTCATCCACCTCCTTCCCTCAGATAGGCTTGAATTGAACATGATGCTTTATTTGTGCCCTTCCTTCCTCTCTGGTACTTCCATTTAATAAATACTCCGTGTAGGTTCAAATCAATCAAATCACCTATCAAGCTTACTTAATGCTACACATGCTTTGTGACAGCTGATTCACCTCCTCACCCTTAAGCATGTACCACCATCAAGAGTCCCAACTGAACAACCTGAAGAAGAGTCTGTCAAAGTACTTTACTTCCAGTTGCAACAGAATTACCTCAAAATTCTTTTCAGTTATTACTGGAGAGTCAACAAGAGTAAGACGAGAGTTATATCATAAGGCAATTCTTTCTGGGTCAGACCACAAGTCAGAATGGATGCTTAAGCACGTGGCTGGCTGGTGGATGATATGGAAGAGGTTCTGTAAGGCACCTGTCTTAACGAGGTGCCAGCAAACACTGAACAGGGATTGCTGCAAATGTTTCACTCTCATTTCTTTCACTGTCCTGCATCCAGAGACCCCATGGCAGCAGCTCCCTGTAAGTTTAACATGGGGGTGTTCAGGTGTATGTCAGGGTGACTGCTCACCCACCAGCCAAGCATTCCCCGTGTTCAGGTCTGAGAATGAGACTCAATTTTCTATTAATGCCATACAACATGTTGCAGTCAACATGGATCTCAGAAGTCCAATACACACCTTTAAAGAAAACATACACTGTACAGTTTTTTTGGCCCTGAATTTTTATTTAAGCAATCATCTTTGATCCCCCTTTTCCTCAACCCCTCAACTAGGGGAGATTTACTCAAGAACTTCTTCATCTCACTCCCAAAGAATGGTGGGAAGGGTGGTGTGAGGGACCTTAGATGGTTTACTCAGCACACTGCAACAAACACAGCAGCTTTCAAAAAAGAGCCCCATGGGGTAAAGTGAGTCTTTGAACTGCCCTTGTACATGCATTACAGGAAAAGTGCAGAGAAGAATGAAAGTTGCATAAATGCGTTCATTTTCTTACTTATATGCTGATTGTCTATCTTATGAATTCTAATATAGTGTCATTATGCAAACAATTAAGTAAATACCTCCAGAAAGTACATTGCTAATGCATCTAAATTAAAGTGATTTCTTGCTGGTGTGATTTTTACCATATCTAAGGATGTACTTTGGGCAGGGAAGGGGGGAGGAGGGGGGAAGGAAAAAAAAGGCAGTCAGCATTGCTAATGAAATTTGGTTTAAAATTGCTGTAATCCATTTTCTGATGAAGTGGCTCAGATGCATTTTACACAACCAAAAATATATAAGAGAGATAAAAACATTCTTTAATAATAATGCACTTCTGATGAGATGGAATATAGAAAATTACACACTTGCTAAATTCATCAGACTAGACGCAATCAACAGAGCAGTGGAGGTCACCTTTCCCCTGCCCTCGCTTTGCTTTCATAAACAATCACCTGAAATGTAATGCAGTGGTTGACTTTTTCCATTTGATTTAGATACTGAAAAGCTCATTATTGTTTTATATTTCACACAGGAGAGTTCTAAAACTTATTTTCCATTTAACCTAAAAGCATATGAAAACTAGGTATCAGGATGCTAGTCCATGAAAATAGAAGCTAAACTAGAATGGGTATTCTTTTTCTTTAAAGGCAGGAATTCTATTTTTCATCTTGCATGCAGTTTTTATTTTTTTGCCATTTCAAAGATCCACAAGATTATAAAAAAAAACCAAATAAGGGACATGCACACAATCTCAAGTTTAAAATAAATAAATAGATCAGGTATAACAGCATAACCACGATCTCACCTTAGAAGCCAAAGCCTCAGCACTTTCACGGCAGGTCTTCTCAATTTCAAGATGGTTCTGAATACAATTTACTTCCTCAATAACCATGTGAGAAACTAAGGGAAGAGTTCAAAAATTAGTCAGTATTTTCCTGCGTTTGACACATGCTTCCCATGATCAGAAACAGTACATCATATCCTGCTAACTTTCAGTGTAAGCATTTCAAACACAGGGCAGTACATACCTAGATAACCTCCACAGATGGGAACAGTCTCGAACACTGAATATTTGCTTGGTTTCTTTAAGCAACTCTCTCAAGCCGTGTCTGTAGCATTAGAGGGGCAACTGCAGAACTGAGCATACACTTCTGGAAGCAAAAGGTCAGCAGGAGCCTCCCTGACCATTCTCATTCATCATAATTTTTTCACTAGCGTTTGAGGAATCAGAGTGAGACCTTTAGGACTGCCCCTTAGGATTGCCATCAGAATCCTCTTGAAAATTTGGTATGGACACCATTTTCAGAAGATTGGAACCTCAGTATTTTTAAACTGCCAGGTTAACTCAGGAGTGTTACAAAGATTGTTTTTACTTTCCAGTGTTCATGTTTGTATGGTATTTTAAATACCATCACACTTGCCAAACACACTGCACACGAAGAGCTGCGAGATGGACATTTAGCCCAGGCCTGAAGCAGGTTTACTAAGAAATGGAGAAAGGAGTTAAGTGACTGAAGCCTCCGTATTCACAGCATGTCCTACAGCATGTGCTCCAGTGAAGTCAAATCACTGCCACAGCACAGCTGCTTCACCTCATTCTACTCCGTCCGGTTCAGAGCTCCCTGCAGCAGCAGGATGGATGCAGTCCTGAGGGAAACTCAACACTGCTGGCACTGCCTGATTTTTTACAACCACAGCTGAACAACCCAAGTTACTACATGGCTGTAATGTCTGAACTGTTTCTTATTTGAAGTCTCTCTGTGCTTGAGCATGCCCTAAAATAAGCACCGTGGTTTCAGCACCTACCTTCACTGTCCACAACACAGATTCCACCACACACCCCCCACAACTGCCCCTGAGGCCAGGGCCAAGACCCAGCTGTCTGACGGTGTCTGAAACACATGGCTCTGCTACCACACTTGATGTCACAGCTGCAGAAGCAAGGGAGACATCTGCACTGATGGAATCCCCATTACAACAGTGGGTACATTTCAGTCTGTCAGAGACAGGCAATATTCTTAGAGTGACCAAAAGGTTATGGAATAAATCTTATTTTCTAACATAGGATACCAACATGAGTTAGAGGAAATTTAAAAGTACAAATATGCTTTGGCTTGCAATTCCACTCAACTTCCAGCACTATGAAGGTACTTTACTAGTGTTGAAAGCCTTTTTCTAAGGGAGAAGCTTAAAGTCGCACAGGAGAGCAAAGCAGAAAACCCAGGAACAGTTTTCCCTTTCTCAGGCTAGCACCTTTCTAACTGATGCAATTCCCCCTTGGCTCCTCACACCCTCATCCATCCCAACCAACAGCCTGGACCCTAATTCTTGAAGTCATTAAATGGCACAGACTCCTTCTCAGCCCAGTGCCAGGATTTCAATGCACAGAAAGGAATATCTGCAGCTGAACAATACTTTGGAGCAGGAACAAGGCTGGAAGAATACAATGTGAATACGGAGCACTTTACTAGTACGTCCTTTTATTTTCATCAAGATAAGCTTTAAAACATAGTGATTTCATACCACTGAGTAGAAAATCCCCTTTGCCCTTTTCCCAGAGTTTTGCCTAAATACTGAAGAGAGATATTTAAGTCCTCTTTGATAAGACAGAGGTCATCTTAATGACAACAAAACAGAACTTCAGGATAGAAAAAAGCAGGTCATTAAGAAGTGTTATTTACGCAGCTTTATACTAGTGTCAGCTAAAGTTTTCATTATTAAAGTTTCATCAGTACCATAGGAAAACAGCAACACATTGGTTTGCTGAGTAGCTGCATGAAAGAAACAGGTTTTACAAAATATGAGCAGACAAAAAAAAAAAAAAAGGCAGGGCAGAGTATAAGAAATCTTGGTCCAAAAACTACATTCACATGAAGTCTTCTAACAGCAGAGCAACCATAACTCTTTCTTTTTATTTCCATTTTTCCTGACTTTGGAGAATTTATCTGCTTCAAGTGTGTCATACCAGCTGCTACATTTAATTTGAGAGAGGAAAAGTTTCAGATAGGACATGTTCATATCTCTTCTGATTTTTTTCTACCTAGCTCTAAGAACTTGGAGCAATGAGATGCTTTGGGCTGGATGAGGGAACAGTGGAGATAGAGAGTTGCTCCCATTTCACAGACAGGAATCTAATGGCCTCAAGCAAGGCTAAAGTTAGGAAACAAGGACTGGGCTCACATGGCAGAACTAGGGATTACTCTTGGTTCATTTAAACTTAATTAACCTGCAATTATGATTAACTCAGGGGAAAAAGTCTTTCCAAATTAAATACAAAAAATATATTATTTCCTAAGTCTGTCTAAAGTTCTTATTATGTCAATATTAATATTCATAAAGCAGCACTAAGTGGCCTGAAACATCTCTAACCTTGGCAGTTTTTTTCAGGGGTAATAATAATCCGCAGCAAATGCAGGCCAACCAAAAACCACTTAACTAATTAGTAGTTGCAGTCACTGAGAAAACATGAATCAACACTGTTATTACAAGTGGCACATTTGAGTGGCATCTAATTATGACTTGATGAGCACGATACTTGCATTATCAACATTACTACTGCATCCCATCAGGGACTAAAAGCCGCTGATGGCATTGACTGCGAGAAACTCCCACTCAATGGTACTGCAGCACCCAACAATCTCCTTGGCAGGGGCACCCTCACTAAATGACATGTTAAGCGTAATTACTGGTAGACATTGTAAATAAACAGGATTGGAAGTGAAAATTGTACCAAGTGCATAAGACACAATCTGACACATTGGAAGTGGCAGCCTTAATTGAGAGTTTCTTTGACTGCTCAAGATCATTTCAACTGCATTTCTCGGAGGACAGTGATTATAACTGTGGAGACAGACGGCATAATGGTATCAGCACTGCTGACAGAGCAGTGAATTAAATTGTATCTGCTGTTGTGTGAAAGCCTTGATGAGAGGTACAGATCCTTAGTGGTCTTATCATTATAACACAATGGTCATGTTGTCATCAACCTTGCTGGCTCCAATTGAAAAGAAATGATTGTGTGTTGAAGCTTTCCCCCCCACCACCACCTTCTATCTCTTGTGCTCAATAGAACCAATTTTGAGAGAGCTATGAAATCACGCAATAGGGCCTAAAATGCAGCTGCTTGGCATACAAACGGGGCCCCATTAAACTGGAATCACACACAATATGTGTTTATGCCAGGAGAACAAATAGAAGCTGAGTACAGGCCAAGTTTATTCACAGACACAAAGCCAATGTAGCTCTTCATCAATATAATTGCCTTTTATATTGTCGTTTAAATAATGGGCTCTATTATTGCTTTAAAATCCTAATATTCCTGGCATTTTATCACTATGTTTACAAGGTATGTCCTTTAAAAATGTGAAAGGAAGATAAAAGAAACCTATAAAATCTTACATCATCAAATATTACTTCGAATTTGAAGTCTTAAGTACTTGACATTTTCTGCCACACTCCAGTATTCCTCATATCATAACAAAAACAAAACAGACAGCAGTTTTTTTCCAGAGAAATTATACTTCTCAGAGAACATTCTTGCTTAACAGAACAATTATCTAAGATCATTTAAGGTAGTAGATAATTCCTGTTGATTTTAGATTATCTTCCATAATTGTATCATATGAACCATTATAAAACAGAAGTGAGCAAATTCCTCTATTAACACAGTCACACAAAAGTACAGACCATGTGATTGCCTTCTCCTGCATTAACTTCATCCACATTTCTGATGCTTCATCGTGCAGTTCACCGTACTGGCACAAACCAGACATAACAGACCACAGTCCTATTGTAACTGTCTCTTCTAAGGAGCTATTCCACCAGGATACTTCCACTCCCATTAGATGTGCTTTGTTGCCTCCAGACACCATACGGTTTCAATAGAACCATTACCATAAAAGTGTAAAACTGAGTATTGACGTTCTCACAGCCCAGACAAGATATAACTTGCTCTAAAAATTATCAGGAGAGAGCAGTTCCTCCTAAAAACCTTTAGTGGTGTGTCTGTGCTTAATGTACTTTTACTCCTTCATGGAAAAAAAGCCACTATTATTAATATTATTATTCATTTCAGCAATAGTATCAAATTCCATTCACTCCAAGCATGTATCATTCCAAAAGTCATTTGCAGGATCCAGGTGAAATAGAGACATACCTGTACCCCTGTATTTTCACCACTTTGCACCTTGAGATGACTACCTATGTTACAGTACAAATGCTGTAACAGTAGTTAGTCTGCCAATGGCCAAAGTCTCACTGAAATAGCTCCTTAAAACACAGCCTTGAAGGGGAAACAGCAAAGTGGACTCGAATCTCAGCATTAACACCGCTGTAGAGAAAGCCTGTTCCTAAACTGTCTACATCGAGAAAATCCCACTAACATCATCAGCTTACTTTTCTGAAACTCCTCCAGTTTTTTGACAGCCTCATCTCGTTCTTGCTTGATTTTGTCACACTGTAGGAGAAAGAGAAAACTGAAATAAAACACTGATCCCAGTTATTTAATTAGCAGTCAGTCACAACATGCAAAATCAACAAAGATCAATTGCCTGCACAATAAGGTTCAGAAGCCTATCTAAGCATCATTTCTCTTTCTTCTCAGTCATGTAAGATCAATGGATATTATGCATAAAAAATTCCTAACCAAACTGGCAAGCTGTACTTGATTTTAGGTTCCAATTCAGAGCTACTCCAAAGATATTTTAGGAGAGACACATTATCCAAAATTGATATAAACAGTCATTACACCAACAGTAAAAGATCCTTGCATGCTTTAAGTCTAGTTTCTTTAATACAGATAGACTCGGAAAAGAGGCCTACATTACCTACCGTGTGCAAGGAAAACCTCAAAGCCAATAAACAGGGACATGCTGTTTATTTTCATAACATTACAAGCAAAGCTTCAGCCTTGTAGAGGGGAAGACATTAATTTTTATGCTTTAAGAATTTCCTACCACCTCAATTTTATTAATTTTGGGGTTAATATTAACACTGCACAGGGCTGCAATCAGTGATCTTATGATGGAAAGGTTTCTTCAAAGAGAAAGAATAAAACAGATGTTAAATAGACTTCTCTAAGAAAACCCTTTTGATAAGTAAATGAAAGAACTCAAGGAAATGAGTAAACTTCAGGAGAGGGACAGTCAGTGATTAACCACAGTGTGAAAAACACATGACCCAAGGAGAAGTATGACTGGCACACAACGTGTCTGACACACACGGCGTACCAGACATCCTTCCTCACATGCAGCTGTGCATGTTCACAGCAATAAATACACGTACCACCAGGAGTTAACTTATGGAAGAGATCTGTGTGACTGAGCTCCTTACAGTGCAACTCCAATTACAAGGACACTGGCTACTGGAACAGAACTGGGAAGAAAAAAAACAAAACCCTGAAATGATTTTGCTCGATTTTCAGTTTTTCCACATGAGGAGCCACTTTGAGTTTGCAGGAAAAGGAGCTTGCTGTTAAGTAACGAGGGGGGAGAGCCCAATTCAAAGGCAGCCAAATTCAAGAGAACCCTTCTATGGGCTCCAGAGGACCCTGGCCAAGGCCCAGAGAAGGATCTGCTCTTGGGCAAGGCAAGGATGCCATTGGTGTCACCGTGGGGGCAGCCTCCACAGAGCTGATGGCTACCTGGGGGAGGAAAAGCGGCTGCACCCAGCAAGCAATCTCTCTTCTCGTGGCACTGGGGGGATGAGGCAAAGGACAGGGGCTGAGTAGGGGGGACAGGTCCGTCACCAGCTGCTGTAAGATCTGTGAGACAAGGCAGAGCTGCAGAAGGAGCAGGACGTGCCAAGCAAGTGGTGCTGGACGAGGACTCACCGTTTCACGTGGCCCTGTTAACAAAGAAGCTGTTCAGAGAATCCTACACAGGAGAGGTGAGGAAGGGAACTCTGTGCATGACTCCTGCTGCTCACTGCCCTCCCTCTCAGTTTTCTCAGCAAAAATTTGTGTCACCTTACTGGAGAAGTGAAGTCTAAGAACGGAAGGCAGTGAAAGACAGGGGTAGTATTTCTGACTGTTCCTGCAGAGCACAATTCTGCTGCAAGAGGGGTATCAGTGTGAGCCGCTGCCTCTTCATATTTTACAGAAAAAACACTGTGGCCATGCTGGCATACTTCACCCATGGATTTTTCTGCATGCTGCAAGCTTTCAGCCCACTGCACATTAAGGGAGCAAATGCCTTTAATGTTCAGTTTAGAAAACAGGAAGATTAGCATTTTAAGGATCTGATCTGTTGTCTATGGAAGTCAATGAGACTTTTCTACTGACAGAAACCTTGACGTAGAGGACATAGTATACTCCCTATCCCAACGACAGGAAAAACTCCTTTTAAAATTCACCAGCAACAGCTTTCCCTGTGCAGTGAAAGGGGAAGTTAAATGACCTATTCCACTTCACCTCAAGTGCTATTTGCAGAGAGAGCTCCATTTGGACCACGGCAAGCTGACTGTTCTCATAACTGTGACATTTCTCTGCACAATCAGGGTCTCTAGGTTTGGGTCTCTGCAGAGCAATTCCTGCTCCCACTTGCAGCTTTCTCAATATTTTCCTTTTGCTGCTACCGTGCTTTGGAATGAAAGAGGAGGAAGAAAAGGAGAGCGGGAGATTGCTGCCCTTGCTGAAATGATCAATGGAAAGCACTTTGCCTTCTATCTTGCAATCAGGGCTGTGCAAGCAGAGCTGTTACAGGTCCTTAAAAAAAAAAAACAAACAAAAAAACCCCAAAAAAACAAACCCTAGTTTATCTCCTAATAATTCGAAAAAGTTAAGATTGAAAGAGTACAAGTAGTTAAAGGCAGACTAGAAGGTTATGCAAAAAAAAAGCCTGTAAATTAAGTTTCATAATAAAATTATTGTCACCCTTTAAAATAAATTGACCTTATTTTAAAACAAATAAGTTTAAAAATATCAAAATTTAGAAGTGTGAGCTGTACACAAAAAGCTGCACAGACACCTTCAAAGTTCACACCAACTCCATTTCTCAAAAAAGAAATCTGAGGCATATACAGTACAATTGTTAATTGATAAAAGTATAAGTAATCCTAAATAATAAAAGGCAAATAGTATAACATTACTATAAAATCTGCTGTTTGCTTTTCACATTCAAGCACATAAGCTCCTACTGACTTCAGTAAAAGGTCTTCAAAGGGCAAAAACAAGGAGATTGTTCAGTTGAGATATTGGGATGTAAGAAGTTCACGTAGTAGTCATATAGTCAGTTAAGCCATTGCTAAGCAACACAAGACACAATTCTTTCCCGTTTACACAGATTGTGAAATTTATGCAGATTTAATGCTTGTTCTAAAATTATGAGTTTGGTACAGTGCTCACAAGTATCCAATGACATTTGTTATACTCTACTTACAGAAACAATGAGCATGTCATCAAGGCAGAATCCCTTTCCCATTCCCATTTGGTGACAAAACATATAATCCACTCTATACATGTGCTTTAACAGAGCAAACATCATGAATGATGTATCAGAGATACAGTATTACACCTACTGTTTTGGATAGTTGTCTTGCTTTTTTTCCCCCTATTGGCAGCCTGACAAAACACTGTCAAAACCAGTGTTCAGAGTCATTTCTGTCTGATTAGCAAGTAGTCAAATATTTATTCATGATCTGACTCTGAATATGTCAGAACTGCATATTAAGTTACCCATATTTGTGTGCAACTGAACGTTAGTTATCTATTTCTGGGGGACTGGTATGCGTGTTCAGTCAGTGACTTCAACAAAAAAGGTGACCTAAGAGACATAATCTGCCAATATCATTTTTGCTTCAGTTTCTGAAAGTACTTAAAAATGCTAATGAAAAAAATGTCTGTGGCAATATTGTCAGAGACCCCACCAGTGGTCTTCACGTTGGCGGTTTCTCAAGGCAATGAGGAAGAGACACCGTGGATCAAAGATCTTGCATTCTGCTCCTGAATTTTCATGTCCATTAGCATCCTTTTAAAGCAGTAGTGCTTTGAACAAAGTAACCTACATAAAAGTCAATTTACTTTCTAATCTTAAGAAAAAATATGAAACAAAGAGCATAGATTTTCAAAAATTAAAATTTTATCTTAAGTTAGCTGTCCATTATCCACCAAGTTCCATGTGACTAACAGGAACTAGGCTAATTTCTGCACACACAGCTCATCTCTCAAAGCCATACGACTGCAGCAGTGACTTAGAAAAATCTCCCACTAACTTTGTCAAAAGCACATACACACAGACAGCTATCTAATTCCTGTGTGGTACTTTCCACAAAGGAGTTAGCAAGTCACCTTCTAAAAAAATTAATTTCTCTTCTCTTTGTCCTGATACAAAGGGAGCCTTTTCTTCTGAGCACTTCTTCTGAATAGTGAAAATAGAGGACAGATTTCCCAGGCTATCTGAGACTGGTGTAGAACAGATAACTGGAATGCAGCAAGAAGCCCAGTGAAGAAGACAAGGAGGTCAGTGGGTAGGAGGGAGTGAGGCACAGCATGCTGACCTCAGTGGAAATACATGGAATCACTGCTCCATCATAACTGAAGGCAGGTTTCAAGTTTTCTTTAGTAATGAGAAAGTAGTTAAGGACAAGGTCTTCTCAACACAGTCTTAAATTGCACCATTTATAACTGGACTAAAAGTGACCCTTCCAAAATTACTTCAGAAAAAGTAAAATTAAAGTTACATGCCTTGGCAGCTAACAGGGATTTGAAAACTAACAGGTGTCTTCTATCTTCAGGTCACTAATACTGGAGAAAGGAGAATTTTGTTCACAATACAGTGTAGCCCTGACTTAGTCCTCTGCATTCCTCCTGATAAACAGCTCTCAGCGACCACAGTTCCTTTCGGAAGGTTATCTGCAAAAAACCCTTTTGCACGCTGACATGGATTTTTGCAATGCAGCACTGTCATCACATCTCTCCCAGAGTCCTCTGCTCCCAATGGCTTCCTCTCGGGAAGCAGGTACGTCAAATGAGATCCCTCACCAAAGAGACACCTTACCAAATGTGCTTAATTTTAGTATTAGAAAGACAGTTCAGCGTAACTACAATGGGCAATCTAGGAAGCAGGCATTATTTCTTACTTCAGTATCTCTGAACATAAAAAAATGAAGCTTGCACTAATGTATGAAGTTCAGACCATACAATCAAAACTTCTTTTCAAGTTGGACAGGCACACAGATGTCACAGAAAGATGTGTGACATCCTGAGAATTCATTTTATGCTGCAGTACCATTCTGCAAGTTAGGACATCTTGCTCTCCTATTAAAAACTGGGTGAGATTTGAAGGAGGAATGGGAAGGGGAAGATTTTAAATACCTTTAGAAATCATATTCCTACATTCTGAATCTTCAGAAGGGCTGGGTAAGGGAAGTTCTTCTTCTATTTTTTCTTTTCGGTAAGTCCGTCCCTTGTGCAAATCAGGTTGTAATAAATAAAGCTTTAGATCCAAGAGAAACAATTTTATCTAAACACATGAGTTGGTCTGTGCTCACACTGTAATCACAGGCAAAGTGGGTAGAGCAGCCATCACTTAAAATATATTTATACAAACCTTTCTGGAGTGGCACAGCCAGAATAGTTGTGGGAGTTGCACTTATTGCTCCTTAAAACATACAGGTACAAGTAATGCTTATTACTAGTAAGTATCAGTGAACTCAAAAAAGTAGACAACAACCTGCCATAGTCAACAAGATACTCTGATATTTAGCATTTTAGTATTAAATGAATAATTGTTATATATACAAACCTCTTCTTTCGTTTTCTTATTTTCTGCTCTAAGCTCTTCATATTCACCAATAGCTATACAAGAAAAAAAAAAAAGAGTTAATATAGCAGCACCTCTTCCCAAATTAGCTCTCCATTCCATTAAATTGAAAACTCTTCTGTGTGCTTACACAGACTTCTTAAATAACATGGGTCATAAACTTCATTAACAGCCTATTAATGGCCTATGAACTGGATATCCTTCTAGAATTGAAGCAATTAGAAAGTGTCTGAAAAAGATGGTAGCTCCCAAAACAATCAATTTTTGATCAATGTAGAGTTAAACAATCTCATTGATTGAGTTCAAAAATACAAGGTGAATATACTGGTTTGCAGTCACCATTTTAATCCCACACTGGCTCAGGTTACAGATCAATGCCAGAAAACACAGTTAATGCCATACATAGGTACCTCCAGAGTAGCTGAGCACCTTTCTGTATTTATTTGTTTATTAACATTTTCTTCCAACAAGAGTCCTATGAAAGGTATTTTTGTCTTTAAACTCCCCATGGAGACAAGAAAAGATTGTATGATTTGCCCAAGATCACAAGAGCTCAGCTGCAGGGATCAGCAGGAAAGGGATCAACCTCCAGGATTCTGGGAGGCCACTGTTTCAAACCAGTAAATAATGTGCAGAAACAATCTATCAGCTACCAATTAAACTTTCAGTTTACTGCGTATTTTTGTGTGCCCTTCATAAACCTTTTATTTTACTGCCTCAGGGATGTGCCATCATTGCCACAACTTCCCAATTCCATTCTTATTTCAGTGTGTCCCACATGGGCTGTTCGGCCTTTGAGACCATAGAAATTTTATTGTCACCAGAAAGAAGCTGAATACACCTCCAAACTTAGAGAAACAAACTTTTCTAGAAAGGAACACTGGTCGGTCTTCAAGACATACTGCAAGAGTGGAATGAAGGGACTGTTGACATCACTATGGATCTTATTCCAGTCCCTCGGCATCTCCTCAAATTTTGCCCTGTACCTAGCAGAAGCTATACTAGCATACAGGATTTCAAGCTAATTTAAACTGGATAAAGGGTATGAATAGATAGTTTTCAGCTGCTAATATCAGAGATGTTAAGAGTTTCCTCTTGACACGTCTTACCCTACATCTGAAGACATGAACACGCAGACTGTTAGATCAGCCACCTGAAAACCTACTACCTCTTTCTAGCTTTAGACAGTTAAACTTCTTCAAACAAGAAGCTCTTACAAAGTTACACTTTACACTGCTGTGACAGCCCTCTCTCCCCTCCCCAGCATTTCAAAATCTCCTGAAAAAAAAATTAATTCAACTCACTCCTGAAGGTGAGGTCTGGCATCACTGTTCTGCTTGCCTTCAGCATGCAGCAGCACACAAGTACCTCAGAGGTAAAACCCTCAAATTAGCCTAATTTCTCTCTTCTTCAAGATCACATCATTTTAGAGATGAAGTCTGGGATACAGGCAGCAGAATTAGCTTCTGGCTAGCAACTCAAAACAGGACTCTGCTCCCTGTGTGCCCTGACCAGCAATGGGGTCACGACAAGACCCTGCTGACTGTATTAGCTAGAAAGAGAATACAGGAATGACAGAAATCTCTCAGCCAGAATCTCAGCTCTGCTGTGACCGACCCATGTAGAAAAATTTCTAGGCTCTCCAAGAAAAAAAAGTTTAAGCTTTTTTATTTAAGTGAAGTCCACATGCAAACTCACAAGAAAACTGTTAAATCAAAGAGATGGAAAAAATCCTCACTCCTGCTCATCCACGTAAAAAGGGAAATCTACTAAAGAGTTGAACGAACAAAATCAGGTTTCTTAAAATTGTGCCCTGCATCCCCGTACCAGTAAAACCAAGGTCTCCTACCCATCCCTTTACTTGCCCCCACTTCTTATCTACCAAATTTCCTGCCCACCTCCCATACTCAGGAAACAGAAGAAAAAACACAACAGGCAGATGCACAGGCAAGAAACCATGCTGCTGCAGTTGCTCCAAGACAGAGCACCTACAGTGAAATACCATGTTTCCTACTCAGGAACGCAAAGCTAAGCCTCCTGATCACTGTTCCACTTTCAAATAATTTCCCTGTTCCCTGGAGGAAAGCAAGAAAAGAGATTTCTAGCATCCAGATGCAAAAAAAGGAATGAAAACTGTTATTGACAAATACAATTCAAGTTTCTTCATACTTGAAAACTACTACTGTTTGCTCACCTTTAAGGCAAACTCATACTTGCTATTCAATACTTTATAAATGAAAAATATAGATTTGCCACGCCTTTAACAGCTCTCTTCACATGCTCCCTGAACAGAGGACTCTGAATCATGAGCCCTTAAGGCATGGACACAAGAACAAGCTACCAGAAACAAGAATACTTACACAACAGTCCAAAAATCCCCAGTAAGGGCTCACCTGGGTGAGACTGGGAATTAAACTGCCTGTTCAGGGCAGCCCTTCCCTCTTTCACTGCAGATCCACAGCAGGTTTGTCGTGGAATGCAAACAGAAACTCAGCAGCCACTTCATGCTGCACTCACACACTTTCTTCAGTGCCTTTTTACTGTGCCCACCCCCTCACTGTCACTGCAAAACTTTAGTTCTTCCTTGAATACAGCTAATACATAGTAAGGATCTGGTATCTTAAAATCAGGTTGTTCATCCTGGATGGCAACCCCATCTGCTGTGGATCAGATTCTCTGCAAAGGCAGAAGTTGAAAGTTGGTGGATTTTATTTTTTTAACATTGGGGGTAGGGGTTGTTGGGAAGTTTTGATATGAAGTTTTTCAGGTGTTTAATGTACAATGAAGTTTTGAGGCCATCTAAAAAAAAAAAGCCTACATACATAACCTTCACTGAAGCACCAAAGGGCATAAAGGAAACAATGATCTCTCTGCTCTAGAACTGACTAGAACAGTCAGTAACTGGAGGAATACAAGGCAAGAGCTCACATGGTCCAAATGCCATACAGACTATTTAGCCTTAAAACCCCTCTTTGGTAGATTAGGAGATATCATTACCACTCTTTATAGATTGACAAGCAACAAATCCTTTTGTACAAGGACTTCCCTAAACTTTCTCCAAGAGATAGAACTCCTTCTCGTTAACCTATGAAGGCACTCACACAATATATGTGACAACTTCTTCACCTGAGCAACTGAAAACTTCTTACATGTCATCCTGACTCATTCAGATTATGCTCTATAGAATTTATCCTGGAATAAAGACATCTCTTCACATTTGTAGTGAATGAAACAAACAAGTAAAGACACTTCACTAAAGGTGCTACTAAAATTCCAGAACTATATATCATTTTCTTAAAGAATCAATATTGTAGCATATATTGGTAGTAAAATGCCCATGTTGAACTCATTAGTCCCCAGTGAATCCTGAATAACTGTAACAAATACGTATGAGAGATCTCTTGGGATACTGTTGCTGTCTGACACTAACTTTATCTGTAGTAGAATAATTCCCGATATACAGCAGTATGATATATACAATTTATTAGGACACAAATCGCATTTTTCTGCTTCAGGCTATCTTTACACAGTATGAGGGCAACACTACAACTTCAAGACTAAGGAGAGAAGAAAGCTGGGAAAAGGAGAAAATAACCGAATATTTTGGGCTCCAGCTCTTAACCCACCCCAAACATGTTCCCAGCCAACCCTGCTCTTTCTTACGGTAAAACAATAAAACCCCAAAACAGCCAACACGAGGGAACACAGCATGTTCCTTTACAACAACCACACATTCACCAACTTCTCACTCCACAGCTCAGTTGGCCAGAGGGGACTGTCCTGTGAACAGTATCAATGTACTTTATCTGCACTAAATTAAGTATGCAACTTTGTATGCAGAAGCTCCTTTAATTATAACTTACTCTTTTGATTTTTATTTGTGAATCTGTGTCTCCTGAACCAGGATTTGCTACCAAGAGACAAGTATTACCTAAATTAGATGTTTTATGTATTAGATATTTACTATGGCTAAAAAGCACTTATTAGTAAAACAAGGTCATAAGGGTAAAAGTATGTAATGACTATAATTCATAGTGAACAACAGAAAAGACTCTTCCATTTGCACAGAGCAAGGTGGTGAGACTCTTCCTACTCTTTTTATTGAAAAATTAATCAACCCCTTTTCCAAAGCTGTATATTAAAAAACAGAAATTAAAGGAAAAAAAACCACGACAAACTTTAAAAATGCTACATGCATATACCTTAGCATTTATGCTGCAAATCAGGGTGGCCTTTGAGTAGACTGAGAGCCAAATCAATAAGTAATGCCACTTCAGCATTTCAAACTTACTTATTTAATCAAAAAGTAAGTAGAGCTGTCAAAGGAAGCAAGTGTCATTCCACTGCTTATACATCTAGACTATGGACCAGGCATGTATTTACTGGTAGAGGCAGGAGAAAGAGCTTACAGTGCAAGAAGTCCTCTGCTCCAAATGAAACAAGCTATTCTAATTAAGTCATTTTTTTTGTTGGTAGAAGTAAACTAACACCTGGCTTTTTGGATGTATCATTAGAGACATAATTACCCCTGTCAGAACCAGAAGCTTTAATGGAATTGCTGCCACCACATTCCTCCTCCCAGTGTACTCGGAGCAGGAAGAATGAGGCCAAATGTCTCTCAAACAGGTCACCCTAGAAGCACAGTATGCACAAGATCTGTGAAGTGCTGTCAAGAGGATAAACAAAAGCCAAAAGGGGTGAATTTTTCTCTTGTTCCCCATTTTAGGCTCAAGGATCCCTTTTGCCCAATCTCAATTTCAACAGGATGTGGTACAGCACCAGCCACGTGCAAACTACTTCAAATTGATGCCTGGGCAGCATTTTTAACTCCTCCTTCTGTAAAGGTGAATCTATGTGATGGTGTTATACTCCTTACTTTACAGTGACTCCAAATCTTGACTCACAGTATATAAACCTATTATTAGGCCTAAAGCTTACATGGACAAACCAAGCTTTTGCTCACAAATCACCAACTGAAACCTACACAGCTCAACTACCAAACAGCCCTTAAAAACAAACAAATAAAAATCACCTGTGTAAATATACAAAGGTAAGTGTTAAGTACAATTCCTGTCAGTCAGACCCTGCATCTGTGTTCCCATATGCTTTGGTTTTACTCAAATCTAGGAAAGAGTGTACAAATAAATTTTTTTAATGAGACCCCAAATTTGCAACCTGCAGTCTTACAGCTTCCTGGAAACTGGGCAGGAGAACTAAACACACCACTGCCTGATAAAGCCCAACCACCTAAGTTCACACCAAAAGATTTGCCTTTGTGAGTTTCTGAAAACCAGACATGGTTCAACACAAGAAAGTGAAGCGGGAAAAACGTTCCACAGCAATATACGAAGAAAACACTCCAGCAGGATGGGCTCTGCTGGGGAAGGATGGCTGCTGTGTATGAACATATACAGACACGTACACTGGAAAAAATCTGCAGAGCAGATGGCTACAGAGGGGAACACAGTAGCCAACAAGGTGTCCTAGGAAATTCCTCTGGCCATAAAAATTACCCACCTGCCACAAAGAAAAATAAATTTACCAAATCACATTAAGAGCTTGTCAATAGCATATTCCTAAATAGTACCACTCTGAGATATTGCTGTCAGATTGTCAGTCTGCTCTGTTCCTTAGAAGATATATAATATTCCCTTATTCAAAGGTTCTGACATTCTAAAAAAAGTTTTAAGATCAAATAGATCTTAATTAAAACAAAAAAAACCACAAAAAACAAACAAACAACACATATAGAGTCACAATGCTTGGGACTAGGGACTAGAGACTGGAAATCATCACACTTCGTCAAATTCAACCAGCAAACACAGAGCAACACTAGACCTTTCAGACTTATTAAAAAAATCCAGGCAATATAAACTTGTTCAGTATATACGTAGTTATCAATAGTTGTTAACCACTGTAATGTAGCAAAATGACCAGAAATGTGACTATGACAGTGGCATTGCTGAAGTGCAATTTTACCTAGTTTATAACTCCAGGTATTTTGGTTGCTGACTGCTGTTTTCAACTGAACAGAAAAGCAACTACATCAGAAGGTAACTCTGTCTTTAAGGGCAAAGTACCTACAGTGCCAATAAAACCAAAGAGAAACAAGGCAATCTTTCAGGCAGGTAATCAACTACTGTTATGATTCAGCTGTTAGTCAAGTTTGCTACAACTCCACAGGTTCTACAAACAACCACTAATAACACAAGATTTTGCCCAGTTGATTTGGTTTTGGTTTTGTTTCGATTTTAAGTCTCACTCATAGGAATTATAAGGGCCAGTTGAACAGAAGTGTGCACCATTGGAATTACCACTTCGAGTTAGGCAATAGTAATATTTATAGTGGATCTGCTTTATTAAACCAAGCCATCTCTGAAAACTATTTGAGGATTAAAACTCAAGCAACACTTTTAAGTCCTAAATATCAACACAGAGATCATGTTCCTTTGTGGTGCTCACCTTAAACTTGGTAATGGAGGAGGCTGAAGAATGATCAGTATCAGGTATCTGAGTCTAACACACAGGACTTGGAAAATTCAGCACGGGTGAGAGATAAGCATATCTTGCACACAGAGCTTCAGTGTCCCTGTTGCCATTCAGAGCTCTGCCAGACAGCCAAGTGAACTTGCCCAAGCCCCAGACATCCTCACAGCTGCCACTGAGAACGGAGCGGGCGGCTACAAAACACTGCCTCGGGTTCAATCCACCACCCTTGTTTAGGAAGAGGATGAGCAGCAGTGGGGATGTGACAGCAGCCAGCCACCTACACTGCTCTTTGCTTCCCCTCCACCTTCTGCATCACTTCTCAGACAGTTCATTTACCTGGTGTCAGGCAGGTTTCTCAAGACTAGAAAAACAGATCCTGAGAGAGAAACCAAACAAGAGCTACTGAATGAATGTTCTCTGAAACCCCTCCAAATCAATTTGTGTTTTTCAAAAATCTGACTACAGACCATAATGCTACAGTAATCTGAAGCCATACACCACTCTAAATGCAATAAGATAAGACAAGTATCATTACCCCAAATATTCAGTGACAGTAGATCCTTCCACCAACCATAGCTATTTCCAAAATAATACTGTTATCTATATCTGGAAGCAATAAAGAGGAAAACAAAGACTTTCTCACCTCCTCTTTTCATGCTGCATCTGTTTAACAGACCACCCTAAACTTACTTGAGGCAAGTTGGCAGTATCTAAAATAGTCTTGTTTTGTTATCAGTAAGAATGGAGAGGACATTATCTATTCAAACTTACAGCATATAAAGACTAAGCAAATTTACTTACCTATAGTAACAATATTTAGTTCATTACTGTTAGAATAAATTTATGCATCTCATTACCTTTTAATTGCTTAATTTTTTACTTTGGGCTCCTCAGACTTGTCAGTTAACACAATTTAACTATTAATTTAACTATGTGTGCTACCATATTTTTTGTATAGTTTTAGATGCAAAACAGGATATAGAAGAGTATTTTAATTTTTTTTTCCACGGGCTAACTTTTCACCCATATAAAGCAACTTTTGCATCAGCAATAAAATCACTAAAGCCTATGCCAGCCTCACAACAATATACCATAATTCCTATGTTTAGGGATGAACAGCAACAACCACCAAGAACAGCGCCTTATAGGACTGGGTTTGCCAAGTACAGTTGCTATTTCAACAGCTCAAGTGGATCTTAGACAGCCAGTCCTCAAGTTACAGTAACTTTCCCTTGAACTAATTCCTGTAGTCCTGTAAAATTTCATTAGAGATTAAAGGATACCCAGCCTACTGGAGCAGAAGACATTCATACAGCAGAACTAAAGCCCCACTCTAAATAATTTCAAGAGGCTTGGTTTTCTTTAAAGATTAACCCAAACATATCTTTTCTGCAAATGATTATTGACATTTTAACAACTATCCTCTTGGCACAGACAACTCCTCTGGAGGCAACAGTACTGGAGGGAAGCAGTCTGTCAGCAAAAACCCGCAGATTTTTAGCCTTATTTTTTGGTCCCAAAGTATCAAAACACATGGCTATACGATTATCATTTTACACCCACTGAACCCTTCCAAGGCAGAATCTAACCTGTGCAGCTGGTCATCATGGATTTCCAATCCTGAGTGTACAACAACCAAAAAAGTAAGTGCCAGAGCAGGTCGTAAACAGACCATAAACAGATGAACAGATGAAATTTGGTTAGGAAAAGCTTCTGCTATACAGCAAAGGTGGTCAAGCACATTTACAGTCAGAATGAACGGTGGAAAAATGGGTGCTGATCACACTGCCATAATTTCACTGTTTTACGTAACTTTGTCCAACAGCTCTTTTCCAAATCGCTCCTCCCAGGCTCATAGGAGACCAGGAAAACTCAGTTGTGGGAATTACCAGCAGAGGATTACAGTGTGGCTACTTCAGACCTACAGCTTCTGTGAGACAGGAGGCACCAGGCACTTGATGCACACTCACAAGCAGACGTCCAGAATTTAAACTGCTGGTAAAGCTGGATCTTCAAACATTGCCTACATGATTAACTAAGGTAGATACTTTGCTGGATCAACCTGGTTGCTGGATAGACTGACCAACAGAGTTACAAAATGGGCTGCTTCAAAAGCATCCAAGCTCTTTTCCATGCCCCTTCTTCCAGAGGATTAAAGATGACAGTAGTTTAGTTTCTGAGTCAAACCACGCACTGCCCATGCACCACGCGGAGGTACCGGACTGTTCTACAGCAAAGCAGTTTCCCAGACAGAAACCGACTCACACACGGCACCAAACCAGCCCAGGACAGGCACTGCCTTCCACTTACACCGCAGCTACAAACACTCCACGCAAACTGAGGGCGCAGCAGGGCGAGCCCGGAGCTATCGGCGGGAAGCGTGCTCACTGATGGGCAGTGGGATGGCAGGGCCTGGACGGGCTGGGTTGGGATCGGGTCCTGCAGGCTGAGCGGGAGGTGGGACATGATGCCAGGTCAGGCACAGCGCGGCCCTCCACGCGAGGCTCAGCTCCCCAGAGGGATGGCAAGGCGGGGATGGGGCTCCCTGGGGAGCAGCCCCGGGTGTCGGCCGTGTGACCCGCACACGGAGCACTCTGCCCCGGCTGCCATGTGCTGCAGCGCCTCGGCCTCCCGCCATCGACCCCGCGACGCCCGCGCTCCAACACCACGGCATCAGTGAGGTTGGAAAGGACCTCCGAGATCATCGAGCCCAACACATCTTCACCTGCGGGCACCGAGGCAGGCGCTCACACGGGGAAGAGCCAACACCTTCCACCGCCCCGATTTATTTTACTGTGGCTGTTACTGTGTCCCTCTGCCTGAGCAGAGAAAGAGGCCGGGGAAGGGGGGCTCTGGGACGCCCAGGCCGCGGCCCGCCCGCCGCGCCCCGTTCCCTCGCCCGCGGCGGCCGCGCTCCCGCGGGCGAGCCTGAGCCCCGCGGGGGGAGCCGCGCTCTTCCAGCGCCGGAGGCGGCGGCACCGCCCACCCCTACCTTGGTCCTTGAGGCTGGCGAGGCGCTCCAGCTGCTTCTCCTCGTCGGAGCTGTTCATCGTGCCCCGCCGCAGCCACCCGCCGCGCGGGCCGGCGGCTGCCCCGCAGCGCTGCGCCCGCCCCGCCGAGCGCGGCCCCTCACCTGTGAAGCGGGAGCGGCGGCGCGGCCGCAGCCCCGGGGCGCGGCGGGCCCGGCCCGCTCCGCTCTTGCACATGCCCAGACTCCCGCGGCGCCCCAGTGAGCATGTGCGGTGCGGGCGCGGCGGCTCCGCGGGCAGCGCCGGCCGGCGGGGCGCGGCGGGCACGGGGGTACCCTGAGCGCCCTCAGCGCCCGCCCCGAGCCTGCACGGCACGGCCTGGCTGTGAAGCGGAGTCACGGAACCCATTCGGGTGGCCGAGACCTCTGAGGTCATCGAGTCCAGCCTGTGACCGAACACCACCACGTCACCCAGCCCATGGCACTGAGTGCCACGTCCAGGCTTTCCTTAAACACCTCCAGGGACGGTGACTCCACCACCTCCCTGGGCAGCCCGTTCCAATGGCTGAGCACCCTTTCTGTGGAGAAATTCCTCCTCATGTCCAACCTAAACCTCCCCTGGCACAGCTTGAGGTCCTTTCCTCTCATCCTATCCCTTGTTCCTTGGGAGCAGAGCCCGATCCCCGCCTGGATGCACCCTCCTGTCAGGGAGTTGTAGAGAGTGATGAGGTCCCCCCTGAGCCTCCTTTTCTCTAGGCTGAGCCCCCCCTGCTCCCTCAGCCTCTCCTCATAGGACTTGTGCTCCAGACCCTTCACCAGCTCCATTGCCCTTCTCTGAACTCGCTCCAGCACCTCAATGTCCTTCTCGCAGGGACCCAGAACTGGGCACAGCACTCAAGATGTGGCCTCACCAGCACCGAGAACAGAGGGACAATCACTGCCCTGCTCCTGCTAACCACACTATTCCTGATCCAGGCCAGGATGCCCTTGGCCTTCTTGCCCACCTGGGAACATGCTGGCACATGTTCAGCCACTGTCAATCAGCACCCCCAGGTCCTTTTCCACTGGGCAGCTTTCCAGCCACTCTTTCCCCAGCCTGCAGCACTGCAGGGGGGTGTTGTGGCCAAAATGTAGAACCTGGCACTTGGTCTTGTTGAACCTCACACTGTTGGTCTCAGCCCATCAATCCAGCCTGTCCATATCCCTCTGCAAACGAGAGGAAAAATCCAGTGGGCCCCCTGGCCTATGGAGACACATGTCCCCATAACCCAGCTGGCATGGTCAGCAGAGGCCATGACTCCTTTCCCTCCAGATCCCAGGCAGGGTCTCCCACATGGTCAGTCCCCCATGAGCCAGGACAAAGCCATCCTGCTCCACTCCCCACACAGCTACTGGTGTGGTGCTGCATTTTTAATAAGCCCTTTTGCATGACTTCCACAGGGCAACTTTCCAGTAAGGATCCCTGCACAGCGCAGAGGAGTGATGGGAACATAAAAGTGCTGTTTGAGTGCCTTGGTACGAAGAAGGCTAAAAGGTTTAAAAAAAATAATAATTGGAAGGTTGCATTTCTGTTTGCGAAGATCCAAGAGAAACAACTACATGCCAGTGTCCAGCACTTAATAGCAATTTTGGAACAACAAGAAGGTGAAAGGCTTTGACAGGGACCTGCTATGTTCCTTTCAAAAGAACACACTTCTCTCTGCTGTTCTCTGATGATCCCTGTTCTGAAAAAGGAGGGGATCCAATGATAACCTCTGTATTAAATTGATTACCTTACCCAGCTTATTCCAAGGCTGACACTGCAGAGGTTGTTTGTGCTTCTGCTTTTTGCTGAGTTTCAGTTGCAGTCAGCTGAGCAGCAGCTATCTTCAGATTTGCGTGGGCAAAGGTACAGTTCACATGCCTCCCTCCCTCCTTCTTTGGCAAACACCCATTGATCACCGTGGCAGGCAGGTCAGAACACACAGCGTTGCCACAGACGTGGCAATATTAGTCAGAAATACCTGAGAACGAAAGGAAAAAGACCTCTCTGCAAAGCATTGCTCAGTTATCTCCTTTCTGTGTTCCCTAGTTTTCCCATTTTGACCTAGTAAACCTTTAAAACATGAAGAGATTCCTTATGGATGCTTTACAGCATTTTGTGTCCTAGAGGTAGTTAATAACTTGTATACCATCCTGGAGAGAAGCCAGGAGATCCACGTGAGCTAAGCTGGTGTCTCAGAAGTGTGGTATGCCCGGGTAAGACAAAGGAGGTTTCACAGGCAAGTTCATAAGCTAGTCAGCTTATTTTGAACTAGTCAGCACAAAACACCTTAAACTGTACCAAATACAAAGTTATAAATTCATGCTCCTAGTCATAATCAAAGAATGGAAAATGACCTTGGAAAAGGAAGGCTCTGTAGAGGAAGTGGGAGGCAAAGTAATTATGTAAGTGCTGCCAGTAAGGTACTGCAGGAAAAGAATGGGAGTATGCTGACAGCACGGAAAAGGTTTCTTCTATAATATTGGTAAGACCAAAATAAATCTACTGTGTCCAGTTCTTAAAAAAATGGTACAGAAAAATTTATGGAGAAAGCACAAGAGAAAAAAAGAAAGACCTAGAGCTTGAGGAGAGTTCTTTGTAATCAGAGACCTTAAACCCTTGATCTTTTTAACTGAGCAAAAAGGAAACAAATTATTGGGTTATGGTAATCTGACAGGAGAAACCCCTCAATACTTCAGGGTTTTTCAGCCTAGCGGAAGAGAGTCAATCAGAATCTGTGTCTGTAACCAGAAGCTGAAAGTAAAAGCTACAAATAGGGTCACACATCAATAACTGCCTCCATTTGAAGGAACACAGAGGTCCTATTTAGGTCCTTAGAGTTCTGGGATGACCTCAGTTTTGAATGGCCCCCATGTTAAGTCAGAGCAGTTTTGCCAGATTTTTATTTTTTAGTGTCCTTTCTTGGGCTGCCTGTTGGCTTCCCTTCAACCACAGGTCTAATTCCAAGCCCCTCTTCCCACTGCTGATATAATTCCCCTTCGTTTCCAAACCAATTTCTTTCATGCAGTGTAATAGCAGGATTTGCAAAAGAGTCGTTGTATGTTGCTTGTCCCTGCACCATGCCAAGACACCGGGCACTTTCATCCTTCAACAATGTGCCGTCTGTTGTGTTCAGCCAGAACAGGGCATAAAATCTCTTTGATATCTGCAGAGACAACAAGTCAATTCTTCCATTATTTTATTTATTTATTCAAGTTAAAGTGTTTTGTCTACATCAAAAGAATTCACTTCTGTAATTTCTATATCGCAGCTTCATAATTTTTCTTCTTGTTTTTATTCACACCTGCGTCCAGATATAATACCTTGAAAAGTCAGCATTTAAAACAAGGATCTCCTCATTGCAGACCATTGTGGTTGCAATACTGGGATGGGTACCACTACAACATTATTATTTATTATTATATTAATAATATTATTATATTAATCATCTCTTGTTTATCTTTTTCTAAGTTAGAAGATGTCTGAGAAGTAAATTCTATTACTAAATTTGCTAATGGGTTCCCCTAAGGATTTAACATCCCCAGAAATGTTTCTCTGGATCATGGATTCAGTTCATTGTTTTCAGGGTTATTTTAAATAAGAGTTAGTTTATAGTACCTATTTTTATGTAATATAATGTCCACATTGTGATTTGATACACAGCCAGTATCAAGGATGGAGTCACTTTCTACTGGACATGACATTTCATGGATAACCCATGTCCTTTTGGAGACCAACATTCAAATTGATTCATCATACCTCTAGGTCCTGCCAGCTTGTAGCTGAGGAGAATGGATGAGAATCTGGCTGGTATTCTCAATTACACCGTAGCCAACAATTGTATAAAATAGGATAATTATACAGAAAAAAATGAAAGAGAAAAAAAATACCAAGAGGTTTTTCTTTCCTTGACTTACCTTGGGATAGATCTTAGTGAGATTGGACACCTCCTGTTGTTCTGACTAATGAGTGAAGCTGAAAATGACTTCCTGACATGTTTGCGTAACTCAGGCTGTTGTACCTATGCAGAATATTACTAATAAATAGCTTGCATATAATTTTTGTGATTTTTTTTTTCATGGTTCTCCTCTTGGATGGGACTTTGATGAGTACTCAAATGATGGACTTGGCAAGTTGAAAATATCACAGATTGACAAACTGAAGCAACTGTTAGTCACATAATTCCTAAATTCACATGATTCCTAAATTCATAGAATCTAGAGTGAAGAGCTAGGAATTCATGGAATCATAAAATTTTTGAATTTTGAATTTTGAAATTTTGAATCACAAAATTTGAAACAATTATCATGTTTATGAATGATTTTGTCCTGAGATCATCTAGAGACAATAAATTTTGAACTTAATCTATAAATCTTTATAGAATTTTTTTTCTCGAAAATTAGCTATTTAGCATAACAACACACATAACTGTACACACAGAAGTAAAGATTCTGGTACCTTATCAAATAGGTACTACAATCAGAAATTTGATGTAGTCGTTATCCAGACTAAAATGTGCATATTCCTTGATTATTCATCAGCTACCTGGTGGAAACAAGTGTGACTACAGGCTGCAGGTACCCTCAGGGCATGGCCACTGCCACACCTTTACCACTTTCAGAAAAGATGTATTTTGTGGGGGGAGGGGGGACAAGGAAAAATAAACTACATAATCGCTGCACAGATAAACAACTATTAATAAACTAAAAAAAATAAATATGGCAATAGCTATTTGAACATCTAATTAACATGATGAATAAGACTAAGCAGCTTATCTTGCTGAGGTAATGTATATTTTTCCATCAAACCAATCAGTGCTGAATAATGACTAGCATAATATATCAGGGTAAATATAAACACTTCTTGTCTCCATAAGATGACAAATAACTAATCAGCACACATCCAAACTGGAATATAAGTATGATTAGAAATAAAAAAACTCAGATAATGTGGATTAATTTGAAAAACTTAACCGTTTGATTAGAGACACTGGCATGATCTTTGCTAGTTATCTCCATCTAAGATGGCAAACACATCTATCTGCACAGAAAAAAGGCACAAATTGATTGGGGGATAAATCAGAGGAAAATTAAGTATTTAGCATGGCATTT